CTACCTGGATGAATGTTTCTTCAACCCCTTGGTTGTCGGACTTTTGTACAGTTCTATTTTTTGGCAGTTCTGGCTATATCGTGTTTTTAAATTTGTTGTTGTCCTTATTTGGTTGTGAGAGGAGGCAAAGTGTATCTAACTATGTCTCTATCTTGGCCAGAAATCCTAATAACTTATTTTTAAAGGGGGGAATAGGATGGAGAATTATAGTAGTGTCTGGCATATGATGAATCATCAAATGTTAATTATTATTATTATTATTATTAATACATCTTATATAAAGGTAAACTAATCTCCCACATAGTCTCCTGACTTACCTACCTTTGAAAAATGTATTGAATATAAAATATCTAGTGGATAAGTGGTAATGAAGAAATACAAAACAATAAAATGGTTGGATTAATTAGCAGTATGAATAAATGAAAGTTAAATTAATAGTAGCAATATGTTGGGTTGGCCAAAAAGTTCGTGTGTATTTTTCTTTCTGATAAATGGCTCTAGTAGCACTTACTTAGTGGTCTTTACTTCATTCTAAACAATTGTGTTAGATTGTATTGTGACACCTGCCATATCAACGTGTATTTTTAAAATACAACATCAGTGAATTTTTGTGTAGCCATTTTAATATTGAAGATGGAAGAACATATGCAACTTTTTTGGCATAGTATCCTTTATTATTTCAAGAAAGGAAAAAAATGCAAGTGAAACGCACAAAAAAAACCCCAAAACAGATTTGTACAGCATATGGAGAAGGTGCTGTGGCTGACTGTATGTATCTAAAGTGGTTTGCAAAGTTTCATGCCGGGTATTTCTCACTGGGCAATGCTCCACAGTTGGAGCAACCTCCAGGTGAGGTTGAGAGCAATCAAAACAAGACATTAATTAAGAAAAATCAACATTATACCAAACAGGATATAGCTAACATACACAAAATGAAAAATGTCTTTCACTTTATGTAAACAACTAAACGGACTTTTTAGCCAACCCAATATTAGAATTTATTCAACTATTCCAACATATGAATCCCTTCCTGTCCCATTTCAGTCCTTTACTGCCACCTGATTTTACTTTTAAACATAAAGATACAAAGTATAAAACGTGAGAAATGGAAGGAGGTAAGGAAAACTATTCAATAAAAATGGGACTTCAATCTATAGCAGCCCTGATCATTTCCTTTTCTTGATAGTCTTTGGACAACTCCACTGAGAGGCCTTTAAAAAAGAGATTAAAAGTGCTGTATGCTTAATTATACTGTAAAGTTTGAATTCTTAAACATAAAATTATTCCAACATAATATCAATTCTCATGAACCACAAAAAGGATTATTTTAACAAAAGAAAAATCATTTTACTAGCATGAAATAACCTTGAACTATGTCTCTAAAAATTGTACTATCACTGCAACCCAAGGGAAATAACAAATTTAATAAAAATTGATATAAAGTTATGGAACAAATGATGATTTTAACAGTTTTAGTGAATGATACATTATTCTGAAATGAGAACTGAAACTTAGAGTATGTCATAAATTCCCTATGTCAAAGAGGTAAAAGTTTCTTCAAAATTTTGATAGACTAATATGATTATTGTGAGATAAACTACACCTTGATCAATAATGGCAGGAAAAAGGCCCTGGCTGGTGTGACTGAGTGTGTTGAGTGCTGGTCTGAGAACCAAAGGGTTACCTGTTCGATTCCCAGTCAGAGCACATGCCTGGGTTGCAGACCAGGTCCCTAGTGCAGGGAGCTTGAGTAAGCAATCACACATCAATGTTTCTCTCTCTCTGTTTCTCCCTTCCTTTCCCTCTCTAAAAATAAATAAATAAAATATAAAAATAATAATAATGGCAGGAAAAATATAAATTAACAAAATAAAAATATTATAAGAAATTTGAGGATGGACTACCCTAAAATGTTATATATGTACTAAAATTAAAAGTGCAAGGAGTAAGATACTAGGAACAACAAAAAATTAAAGGGAGACATAAATTAGTGATTTATTGTGAAAGGCATCTGGCTATACAAATTAGTAGGTAGTTATACTCCTGGATTCCCACAATTAACAGTGTGCCAAGAAAAGAAACTAGAATGCTTCATTTTAACATGCCATCTTATAATTTAAAATGCTAATACAACTCTGAAACAGAAATGACAGCTAAAAAAAAATTAAGATAACAATAGCAATTCAGCCAAAGTAGTAAACTCAAGATCAAGATGATTGAGCCCGGGCCAGGTAGCTCAGTTGGTTGGAGCATCAATCCAACATACCAAGGTTGTGGGCTCAATCCCCACTCAGGGCACACATGAGAATAAAACAATAAATGCATAAACAAGTAGAAAAACAAATTGATCATTTTTCTCTCTGCCTCCCTCTCTCTCTCTAAAATCAGTAAGTAATGTTTTTAAAAAAAGATCTTCACTCTTATTTTGTTCCCTAATCTAGTACCTGACCAACTAAACATAATCATTGAAGGTTTTCTGAACTGCTGTACAGACTGATGGAGGGAAGATGGAAGGAAAAAGTAAGAGTAATAATCACAAATGTTATCTACATAGTCTACATAAGAATATCACCTAAGAAGTTTCCTTAGCCTAACCCCCAATTCTAATACATTAGCTCCAGGATGTCCAAAGTCAACACTTCAATGAACACCCCAGGAGAACTTGATGCAAGCAACCCATGGCCTCTGGAACACCAAAAGCTGGCACTACATGGGACTCTCTGCTACAATTTTTTTAAAAAGTACCTTGAAAAAGTGTTCTTTGATAAAAATAACTTAGGAAAAAAGATAAATAATTTACATATTTTTCTAAACAGCAGTATTTCTGAGAGTTTCAATATGCTTTTGAATTCCCCCAAGAGAGAAAATAACCATGCTGTGACATTTCCCAAAATTACTGGCTGTGGGATATTTTCTTGTTTCACCCACCAATATCTATAAGATTAAAACTTTTACACAAGACAGCCAGAGACAAAGAATAGGATGAAAGCAATTAGACTAAATTAGAAAGTTATAAAGCTTCCTTATAATTCTTATTCTAAAAAATAGGATCCTCCTTTATGTTAAATAATACTAAACTATGAGCACATAAATATCCCTATAATATGTACACAATTTCCCTCTACATAACTCCAAAGGTAATGATGACAATATCGACCATAAGGATTTCTCTAAACAATAAACTAGAAAAAGTGTTTCTTAAGAGGATAATCTTTATAGACATCTACATATGAAATATCTACATATGAAGACCTCTAAGATCTTAAGACTAGCTACAGATTTGGAATCAAACAGTTACAGAAAATATTTTAGAAACAGACAAACAAGCAGGCTCATTTGAAGAAGGAAAATTCTCTTTACTTCATTTGTAAACAAAATATATTTGTAAAGCCTTTAAAAAAGTTTACAACTTGTGAAAATTACACACCAAAAAACTTTCAAATTGACCAGTTTAAAGCACCCATAATTAACTATTTCAATTATCTAAGAGACAATTCCAGGATTTGCCTCATCAATTTCCAATGAACCCATAATACAAAAATGGATGAAATAATCTAGGTGACTTCTTAAATGAGATCTTTTAAATGATTCCAATATAGAGGGTTACTACAGATTAAAGAGAACTTTTACTTTAAGAGAAAAAAATACTCTCTAAAACTGAACAGGTAACAAAACAAATGGTGACAACTAACCCTAAAAAAGATGTATCTTTACATCTCCCTGGGCAGGGGGCGGGCGCAGATTTTTGACAGACTTGGCTCAAGGTAAGAAAGTAAAATGTCTCCCCAAAGAATTCATAACTGTGAGCCAGCCTTCATGGGTTTGGCACAGAAATTCATACGACTCGTGTAACGGAAAGGATGTACACCAAGCTTCAGAGCTCCCAGGCATCTGGTAATAACAAATATGAATGTTTCCTGGAAGAAATTCTTTAAACTTTGGCCTCAAGGAATTTTTAATGTGAAACAGGCTAACAACCTGATAGGAAAAGTAGAAATGACTTGAATATACGTTTCCTAAAAGGAGAAATACAACTGACCAAAAATATAGATGCTCAAAGTCATTAGTTTCGAGGGCAACACTAAATAAAGTGATGATATACTATTTTATATGTATACACTGAAAAGCATTACAACAGTGGACAAAACAAGTTTGGGAGCAAGGGTATCATTATTCATTGCTGGTATGAGTTTAAACTGCTTCAGGAAACCTGGGAATTATCTTGCAAAACTGAAGATGCAAATATTTTACAGCTAAGCAAAGCCATGCCTTAGTATATACCCTAACTCCTTGTTACCATGCTGCAGGAGCCCTTCACAGAAATATTTAAAACAAAATTGTTTATAAAACAAACAAAAAAAAAGATGCAAACAACAAAAAAGACAATCTATAGAACAAAATACAAAATAAATAATGACCTATTCTTTTAAAAAAGAAAATCACACCTTAAGTGAAAACAAATGAGCTACAACTACACAGATCAGCACATATGAATGAAATCAATATAATGTAGTCAAAGTACCTAATAACAGAAGAAAGTAGTTCGATTCCATTTGCACCAAATTCAAAACCAGGAAAACTATGTATTATTTATGAATGCACACATTTGGAGTGTAATTAAAAGAAGAGAATGAGAAATATAAAGCTGAGGAAGGAGGTGACTTCCAGACTAGATGGATGGGAATGTGATTACCCAGCAATTCACAGGAGACTTCAAAAGTTTTAGTAATGTTCTATTTTGAAGTTGGTCAGTATGTTCATTATATTAATAATGGGTGTTCCTTATTATTATGCTTTAAGTGGAATACATAAACAATAAATTCTCAGGTATGTATGGTATATTTCATAATGTGAAATAATACAGTCTTAAGAATAACCAATAGCAATACACATGTTTCTTCCTCTGGCCCCTGAGTATATGTTCACCCTTTGTCTTTCTCACCTCTGACATTTTCATCTCGGAATTTTGTGATGATTATGATAAAGAGGGAATAAATTACCGTGTTTCTTATTGGAATTTTCTTGGGCTCTGGAGGCATGTCCTGTGGAACAAATTTCACTGGTTCCTTAATCTGCCTCCTTGATCGTTTGGTTCCATCTGGTAAGGTTTCCATGGCCATGTCCGCTTCCATGTCGCTGCTCCCAGCCTGGTCACATTCCGAACACTGCCTACATAGAGAAACAGTGTAAGTTCATACATTGATTCTTACCTTCTAGTGTTGGCATTGCTTTCTAGAAACACAAAATTCAGGTATATGTGAAAAATAAATAAAAACATATATGGGTATATGTAATCACAGGGTATATAATGACTATACATATAGAAAAGCATGTATACTCCTATAATAACAAGTATATAAGGCAATTTGATGTAATCCTATAAGTGTACTAAGAACATATGTAATGATGCTGCATGATAATAACACTAGAGATTTGGCACTGATTAAAAAGGCAACTTTTTGGAAACCGTGACTTTTATTTAAGTGACATGTTGTGACACCTAAAAATCAAAGTCATTACTGACCCTGACTCTACTCCTGTCACAGCTATCCTATCTTTTAATCTTATTTAATGACAAGCCATGATGAATATGCCAACTAAGAAAACTCTGTAGAAACAGATTCTAAACAGTGTTGAAAAAATAAATGGGTCATTTTAGTTAGTGGCCCATGCAACTTATAAAAGAGGAAACATAAACTTACTCATTAAAAGAATTTAATGAAGCACTTTCAAAAATATGGGGATGTGGGGAAGATAACAGAGTAGGAAGCAAGAGAAATCTGTTTCTCTAGCTAGAAAACAGTTGCACTAGCAGAATTTGTCTGATGTAACTATTTTGGAAGGCTGGTGTCTGTTGAAGGCTCGCAACTTTCAGGGAAAGGCTTGCACAGGCAAGCTGTCATTAATTTTGGTCAACTTCAGCTCTGCGTGCCTAGCAGCTACTCAATCTCTATCCCAAGCCACCTGGCAGGCAGCTGTGCTGCACTAGCTTATCCACAGTAGTTCAGAGCCAGGTGAGCAAATTGAACCCTGACTACAAATACTGGAATCTGTGTTCTGATTATTGATTGCTGTTTTTGATCAGTAGAGTGTAGACAAAGACGTGGGTGACTTCCTTCTATTAGTGCAAGGCACTCCCTCTCGGTCTGAAGTGACTTCCAAGACTTAAAAGACCAGTGTCCTTTATCCCTCCACCTTTATTTTTCTCTTCTTCCCCTTTTGGGAGCCAGACATTAAAGGAGGCTAGGACATTCAAAAGTAGCCTACGCTTACCCAGGGAAAAGCTAAGAAAAGACATGAGAAGACCATAAGTTTACACCTCAGTCTGATCCTCAGCACAGAGACAGCCCACTGTTAAATAAACAAACAAACAATAACAAAATACAGCATATCCTGGGGATACAGGAGAATTTCATTTCCAGAGTTACCACATTATAAAATTCCAATGCCCAGCTGTTGACAAAAAAACAACAAAACAAAACAAAACAAAACAAAAAACCCCTAGAACATATGTAATGATGCTGCATGATAATAACACTAGAGATTTGGCACTGATTAAAAAGGCAACTTTTTGGAAACCGTGACTTTTATTTAAGTGACATGTTGTGACACCTAAAAATCAAAATTTTTACAAAAAAGGCAAAAGTATAGTCCAATTAAGGGACAAAAATTAAGTAAACAGAGACTGTGTCAGAAGACTTGATGGCAGATCTACAAGACAAAGACTTTAAAACAACTATGATAAAGATGCTCACTGAAGTGGGTTGTGGAGAACGTCTGGAAAACAATGGATGAACAAAATGGAAACATCAATAAAGAGATAGAAAGCCAAAAAATAAGTCAAAAAGAAATCTGGAGCTGAAAAGTACAATAGTTGAAATTAAAAATGCAATTTTCATGGGAAATAAGGGAGATTTAAGCATATAAGAATCAGTGAACTTGAAGATAGGACAGTGGAAATTATCAAGTATGAGGAACAGAAAGAAAAAAAGACTGAAGAAAAGTGAACAGAGCCTAAGCTTCATGTGGGACATCAACAAGCAGACAAGCATCTGCACTGTGAAAGTCCCAGAAGAGAGAAAGGGGCAGAGAGAATGTTTGAAGATATAATGACTGAAAACTCAAATTTGATGGGAGACATGAGTATAAACATCCAAGAAGCTCAATGAAACCCAACCGAGACACATTACAATCAAACTCTGCAAAGAAAAAGACACAGATTCTCGAAAGCAGAAGGAATTTCAGAATCATCACAAAGGATTCACAATAAGATTATCAGCAGATTTCTCATCGACACTTTGGAGGCCAGAAGGCACTGGGTAAATATATTCAAAATGTTAAAAGGAAAAAAACCTATCAACTAAGAATTCTATGTCCAGCAAAACTGTTCTTCAAAAGTGAGAGAGAAATTAGACATTCCCAAACAAACAAAAGCTGAGGAAATTTATTACCACTAAACCTGTCCTATAAGAAATGCTCAAGAAAATCCTGCAGGGCAAAAAAAAACAAAACAAAAAACGCCTCACTATGTATTTATCCATTTAGCTCTGAGACACTAGACAGTAACTCAGAGCTGTATGGATATATAAAGGTTTCAATAAAGTTTAATACATGGTCAGAAAGCTAGTATTATTGTTGTAACAATGATTTTTAACTCCACATTTTGTTTTTTACATGACACAAGAGACTAATATACTGAAAAAAAAAAGTATTGCCCTAAAAGCTAGTATTACATAACTTTGACTTGTAAGCACACATGTTGAACAAGGATCTGAATAAACATTTCTCCAAAGATACACAAATAGCTAATAAACACATGAAAAGATGTTCATTACTACTAATCATTAGAGAAATGAAAATTAAAACTATAATGAAATACTACCTCATATCCATTAGGATAACTGCTCTACAAAAACAAAAACAAAAACAAAAACAAAAACAAAAAAAAACAACAGAAAATAACAAGTGCTGGCAAGGGTGTGGAGAAAGTAGAATGCTTGTGCACTGTTGGTGGGTGTGTAGAACAGTAGACACTTAGGAAAACAGTGTGATTGTTCCTCAAAAAATTTAAAAATAGTGTTACCATTTAATTCACTGATTCCCATTCTGAGTCTATACCAAAAAGAATTGAAAGCTGCATCTCGAGGACACCTTTGCACACCCACATTCACGGCAGTGTTACTCACAAGAGCTGCAATGTGGAAGCAACCCAAGTATCCATTGGCCAGTGAATGGAAAAGCAAAATGTGGTTGGTACTTACAATGGAATATTATTCAGTTTTTAAAAAGAAAGAAATTCTGCAATATGCTACAACATGCATGAACCTTGAGGACCTTGTAGTGAGTAAAATCAGCCAGTTACAAAAAGACAAATACTCTACGATTCCATTTAGATGAGGCAAAGTAGCCAAAACCAGAGTCAGAGTAGAATGCCAGTTGGCAGGGGTTGGGTGGAGGGAAGAGTGGAGAGTTACTGTTTAATGGGTACAGAGTTACAGTTTTGCAAGATGAAAAACACTGTAGAGACTGATGGTTGCACAACATTATTAATATATTTAATAACACTGAAATGTATATCTTAAAAATGATTAAAATGGTAAATTTTGTTATGTATATTTTGCCACAATAAAAAATGTGGAAAACATATGAGTTACATTAAAGAATTAAAACTGAAAGACCAGTCTAAATCTGTGCTGTCCAACAGAACTTTACATGTTAGAATTATCTGTATCTGTTCTGTCCAGTACAGTATCCTCTAGCCCTATGTAGCTATTGAGCACTTGTAATGTAGCTAATGTGACTCAGGAATTGATTTTTAAACTCAAACTATAATCAATTTAAATTCAAATAGCCACACGTGACTAGTGGCTAACATCCAAGCAGCAGAAGTCTACACAATGACTGATAGACATCTTGATACTGAAATTATAGAAGCCTGTTTCAAAAAGTCATACCAAGTTGTTAAAAGTAAAATGTTTTCATATATTTTCTTCAAATGTAAAAGAATGATCAGGAAGTACTTCTATAAAAGTCTAATTGATAAGCATTCCCTTTATAAAAATGTAATAACATATAAAATTATATTTGATTTTGTTTACATGTTTATATCAGTACCTTTGAATGAAACTTATAATTCTTTTATCAAGTATTTTCAAAGATCTCTTATCATCTGAATTCATGCTCCAACAAAACTCATATCTCTCACTCATTAATACAGTAAAACTATCAAACTAATATTTATTTTTAATTAAAAACAGCTTTAAATTTTGAACTCCAATAACAGAATTAAATACAATGTGCCATTTGTGTTGCTAATAAAAGCCCATTAATTGCTAAAATGCAAATTAATATTTAAGGCATTAATCTTAATATCTTAAAATTCTCATTTATTTAAGCAAAGCTGTTGAACAAAAATTTTAACAATAAAAACACTGACCAATAAAAGAAAAACAAGGAAGTAATTTATCATGTGTTCCTTAAAATTTTTATATATCTATTTCTAGAACAACCAAGCATTTTATTCCTTAGAATCATAGATTACCATGAAAATAAAAATATAACTCAAGTGTAATATACAAAATTGCTTGTTTTGTCCCATGAGCTTTTAGATGAGTGTTAAGGCTCATTTGAAAAGTAAACAGCTTATGGAATCTCCTAATTGAAATGATGAGTATATTTTGAAATAATCTATTGACAACCCTAAATTGTGAAAATCCCATTAGTAAATAATAAAATACAAAATCCATCAAAACAGAAGTACCTATAGAAAGATATCAAATTATATCGCAGAAAGAGACCAGTTCCTTGCCTTTACAGCATATAACCTTAATAATAATTGATCATTTCTACCAATTGAAGTGAAAGGTAGTCAAAGTTTCCCAGAGAATTCCAATTCTTTTAACATACATGAATTTCTGAGGTATTTAGGATAAGTCATTGTGCTGTGTATTTTTTAAATTGAGTTATTCCCCTTATTGTCTCATTTTGTAACTATAACTCTTGTCAGGACATTCTCTAACTTCTCACGTTTATTCTCATCTCCAGTAAAAGTAATACATCCAGGTGACAAAGAAACTTGCTTTTGGAGAACTGTTATGCCCTGAACACCACAAAACACTAAATAACTCAGAAATCAAAGGAAAATATAACCACAAACACAGAAATAGCTTGCCCAATTCAATCGAGTTACCTAATACCCAGAGGAAAGTCACAGTTACCTTTCATAATGTCTAAACACACACCTGGCCTCTCTTTATAACCCACTAAGCTACTATCATCCATGAATTTAGCTAAACTTTCCTTAGTCCTACACATTTTAACTTAATATACTCTACTAGGGAAGAGAATCCTATAATGTGTAATTTTCATGCAAAATACTAAAGATAACCTTAAGTAATCAAAACATTCAATTAATTAAAAGTAGATTTTTTTAAAGTATAATCAATGAAAATTCATTGTCTGGAATTTATGAAAGAACAACCTCAATACTGAAATGCCAAGAGATTTTTCTCAATGAACTATATACCTTGTTCATCTCCAGCACCATACTATAACGCATATTCAGAATAATTATGCTTAATGTGTAATAATGCTAAGTATACTAATTTATTTATAGAAAATATTATATGCATAAGCTAAAGAAAAAAATAATTGTATTAATACTTAAATGTAATAAACCTAGTAATACTCTATTTTCCAAATTTTATACAAAGTTCATGATTTACTTCTTTTCTTCTTTATAGATAAGCTTTTTTAATCTTCAAAGATTCCACACTATAGTTTCTTTTCTACCCTTTATCCAATGCCTTCCCTTCTTTTTAGAGGAAAATCTTCATAGGTGCCTATATAAAACCTCATCAGGAAAATCAAAATCAAAATGAGATACCACCTCACCTCTATAGAATGGCTGTCATCAAAACAACAAGATAGCAAGTGTTGGCAAGAATGTGGAGAAAAAGAAACCTCGGTGCACTGTTGGTGGGAATGTAAAATGCTGCAGCAACTATGGAAAACTGTATGGAGAGTACTCGAAAAATTAAAAATAGAACTACCATATGATCCAGCAATTCCACTTCTGGGTGTACATATACACCCAAAAGAATGAAACCACTATTCCTGAGAAGATACCTTCACTGCCATGTTCAGTGAATCATTATTTATAATATTCAAGACATGGAAACAACCCATGTCCATCAATGAATGAATGGATTAAGGAAATGTGATACACACACACACACACACATACAATGAAATGTTATTCAGTATAAAAAAGAAGGAAATCTTGTCATGTGCAACAACATGGATAGACCTTGAAGTCATTGTGCTAAATGCATAAATCAAAGGCAAATACTGTATGATCTTGCTTATATGTGGAATATGAAAAACAAACTCTAGATACAGAGAACAGATTGGTAAATGCCAGAGACACATAAAAATAATTATTCTCTAAAACTTATAGGGGCTGGCAAAAGTAGTTTTACAGTTGTGAGTATGCAAAATAGTTTATTCTTTTATTATTTATTAATTATGTATTATTTATTTGTATTAAAACTGTTAATATAATTAAACTGCTAAGCAAAGCTAAGTTGCTTTTAGAGGCTAAAGGAAATATGATTACTAGAAACTAAAATATATTGAAGCTTTGGAGGTTTTGTGCTACAATTTTAGTTTCTACTTTCACTTTAAAACATTGCAGCCAACGCAGAGGACTCGAATTCATTTATGTCTCTTAAAGAGAACCTTCACAAAACATCCCAGGTTATGTTCTTTGCTCTGAAGTTCTTCCAAAACCGTTCACCCACTAGAAACCAGAGCTCTGCAGACAAGTTCATAACCTCATTGAAGGAGAGATCTGCATAGCTCCATGTCCAAGATCATGACTCAGCGCCCTGGCCCTGGAGACTAGCAAACTGGCTTTCAATTTAGAAACCTATGTAGGATGCTTATTAACACTGCTGGCATGCCAGTAAGATAGACTATTATCTTCTTAAATTTTGGTTTCAAAAGCACATAAATATAAAGAGAAATACATTCCACTACATTTGAGAAGAGCAGACCAGTATAAGTGTCTAAAGACAAATTGATAAAAGGACATTATGAAAAAGAAATCCTGTAAAATGGTGAAAAAATGGAAGCTCACTAACAAAATGAACAGAGGCAGCTTCATGAGATAGAACAATGAGGTCAAAACCATGCTTAGTATCTTTGAGAAACATGCAACTTTTGTATAGGTTACTGTTTAAGAATCTGGGGTTTATTCTTTTCTAAAACTAGAAAGGTAATTTGTATAAAAAGAATACCATGTCCACTACAAAGTTTTCCATGTCCTATATTTTTCCTATATAGAATCAGCCTATTAATTTGAATGAAAATCTGTCTCTCCCTTGGACTAAAATTAAGGAAAATATAAATTTATCATAGGTATCATAAGCTTTTATTAAGCATCTGTAGTGACTCAATATGCACAAGTTGAGGGGAAAAAAGTAAGAAACCTGTCAAATGTGTCTAGATTTGCAAAAAAAAAAATGGTTGAACTTAAATATGACTAGCACAAATGACAAATACTAGGAATAAAGCCTTCAGTAACTAATTTAGAAATAAAATATTAAATTACAAATAAAATGAATGGAGGGAAGTTCTTTTTTTTAAGATTTTTAAAAAAGATTTTATTTATTTATTTTTAGAGAGGGAAGGGAGGGAGAAAGAGAGAGCGAGAAACATCAATGTGCAGTTGCTGGGGGCCTTGGCCTACAACCCAGGCATGTGCCCTGACTGGGAATTGAACCTGCGATGCTTTGGTTCACAGCCCGCACTCAATCCACTGAGCTATGCCAGGCAGGGCAGGTTCTTTTTTTTTAACTTCAACATCTCAAATTTCCCCTTTTTCCTTCCCTTTGCCAACTGCCAGCCCACCTTCCCTCTGGCGATTAACATTTTAAAACAAACAAAGCACTTGAGAAACTTTTTTTTTTAGAAATTCTCACAATAAAGCAAAAGAAAATTACAAAAACACTAGACAGTTCATGTTTAAGAATCCACTAAGATACCAAAATAGCCTCAATTAACTTAAAATGCATTAAAAAAACTATTACAGCTTTATTCATATAAAACTATAATAAACACTTATGTCTGAAGCATTTTTTACCACAAAAATAGAAAACAGAAACAATGTAAGGTGAAGAACATGTTAATTAGCTTGATTGTGGTGATTATTTCACAATGTGTACGTATATCAAATTGTTAAGTTGTACACCTTAAATATATACAATTTTTAATGGTCAATTATGTCTCAATAGAGTTGGATAAGATATTTATAAATGATCAATTATAAAATGTGCCAAAAACTTTTTATGAAATAATATAATACTTCATCTTATGCTGCTGAAATGAAGCCAACCCAATTCTAACACCTAAATTTTCTCCATTTTACTTACCAATAACTGTTTTTGGTCTTTCTTGGCATCCTCGTAAGAGGAGGGTCCAGACATCCAAGGTGGTAATGGAGTTTGCAGGTATCACAAAGTAAGAGGAGATGCTGATCATGGTTCTTCTTACAGATCCCACAACTTTGAATAAAGGCAGCAAATAAAGTATTAAAATAATAATTATCACATTGAAATTAATATATAGTATATTTTATAAATTTGAAAATCTTTCAATTAATTTGATATTTCTTTTGTTTGAAATCAAAAGGCTTTTTACTTTCTAGAACACATCTTTTTTATAACATCAATAACTAATTCTAAATGTTTCTGAGGATACAGAAAAATAGCTTGGATCTAGTATAAATTTAAATAGTGCTAGACACAAACCTTTCAGAGTAGTGCATGAACATTTATTCCCAACACATTCTTTATATTAATTTTAATTATCATTGAAAATCCACTAAACATTAGCTCAATTTTTCTCCGAAAGTATAATTAAATAAAAATTTTCCTATTTTCTACTTCTCCAAAAACTACAAAAGAAGTTACTTTACAAAGAAAGTTGAGTTTCTTTTCTACCATTAAGTATAAATCTTTCAAAGAGCCCTCAACATGTAAATAAGCTACATATGTGTGTATGTATATTTTTTGAAAAGGCATGCGCACACACACACACACACACACACACACACATATAACGTCTCTTTTCAAAATCAGACTTTGTGTCTTAAAAATATACTATAGCTGTTTACTTCAGAGAATGGGGTGTTTTACTATTCACGTTAGTGTTATTTTGGATTTGGGTTTTTTTAAGGAATCTAACTCTTCTTGTGCAATAAGGCAAATTTACAACCTCTGAGAGCACACACACCATGACCTAAAAATCTAGAGTATATTTATTTATACTGGGAATGTAAAGACTGAGGAAAACACTGTTGAGAACCTAAAAGTCATCCGTGTACAGAAACAACAATGTTTGAATTTTTCAAATAATCCTAGGGGAAAAAAGAGCACACACACACAAAAAGCAGCAACAATAAAACCAGTATTTGATCTCAAAGTTGCTCAGAGTAAAAATCACCTAAAATATATCCAAAGTAAAAATGAAATCTAGTGATAAAACTTAGAAGTACAGTGCTATGCCTAATGGTTCCAAATGAACCAATTTTGTTTGGAAAAAGCTGGATTCAGAATGTGCTAGTGTTCACACAGTACACTAGTGGGCTTTTCCCACATTTTAAGAAAGTTATTTGCTATTACCTATGGAGGGAGACTTCAACCAGGAATGGAAAGTAATTATAAAGATTGATGTTGTTGCTATTGCTGCTATTTCTGAAAAAGGAAGAGGTTGTATGGACATTTATGTGTTACATAAGCATACATACATGTTTACATAAAGATACACATTTGTATGTGTATGTATATACACACAAACATAAATCTACTAGCATGTTCTAAACTTTTTTCATTTAATCAGTTACATTACAGAAAAAGATCATTTGGGGTAGTGAACACACGATACAGTACACAGATGATGTGTTGTAGAATTATGCACCTGAAATCTGTACCATTTTGTTAACCAGTGTCACTCCAATATATTCAATAAAAAATTTTTTTTTAATTAATTTTAAAAGGTCATAACCTGTTAAGGCACGGAAAGAAGTCTTAACTCTGTAAAATTACTACAATGGTGAGCACTGTAAAACATTGAACCAAAAATTAAAGAACAAAAATACTCTGAAAACAAAATTATTACAGCTGAGTATAGAGGAAAAAAATGCAGGCATTTAAATCTATACCTTATCTTCATTCTGCACCACTACAGAAAGGCAATAATTCAGAGTATATATATAATACCCATCACTGTCTAAAAACACATGCAAAACTCTAAAACTCATTCACCAAGTAAAATAAAAGTGCTCATTTATCTAATGCATTGTTTAATTATTTATAAAAATAATCATCTACAATATTTAAAGTCACTTTCCAATTCTCAAAATTGGACCTTTCATTTCCATGAAGCTTGCACATATTTCCCCAGTTCTTAAAAGGATACAAAAAGTCATTTCACTTATCTTATTAAAAGAGGTGTAAAAAATCTCTTATATCATAAAACTTGAATAGCATCTTTGATGAAGGTACTAATAAAATGAATATTAAATGCATGTAACTTAAATTCTGATATGGACGGTTTACTCTCAAATACTTGAAGCATCTTATAACTAAAAGGTCAATTTAAAAATACACAATATTAATCGGTCATAATTTTATTACTTGCCTATAAAGTACTGTAGGAAGAGCAGATGTCTTTTGTGTGCCTCCTTCCTTTTTACTTGGTTTTCGCTCCTTGGGTGCCCGCAAAATTGCCGGTATGTTCAACTTCTATTGATTTGAACAAATGCAGTTTACTTTGTTTTAAAGAAGAAATGTAAAGCCACATTTTCCTCTCTATGCCATTCAAGTAAACTGAAAGTGCTAGGGTTGTGAAGGGGGGAATTTTTACCAGCTATTACACCAGCAAAAAGGATTAAAATGAGTTTTTGTTTCACAGTTACTTCCATTAGAAACCTCTAATTACATACTTCCATCCATTTTCAGTGGAACACTGTAACATTATGAAAATTAAACCTCTGCTTCAGCTTTAAAAGGTAAAAGACAAAGACAAGCATTTAAGAACATTAAAAATACACACACAGTATACTTGACAAAAAGAATACTGAAGCCGTTTATTTTCCTCAACATCCCAGCTACACTGGTGCTCCATAGGTTAATTAGAAAAATTATCTTATTGGACCAAACTCTCCACAAAGTGAATGAGATTCTCTCTGGGTTTCTACTAATCTGTAGCATGCTGGCTTTTCGGACAGCGGCCATCTATCAAAGTCATTTCTCAGTGGCCTAGTGGGCCGGCATCTGTTCAACCAACTGGAAAAAAAGTGTCACACAAGCAGTACAAATGAATTCTACCTCTGCTGTGTATTTTATATTTGTACAAGGAAATCTGTGAACGTCTGTTAAGTCATTTAATAAATGAAAATGCCCTTTTATAGCAGATTCGTATGAGACACACTGGCAAATCAAGCCAAAAGATAATGCTAGCTTGGCAAATAAACTGATAATAGGCTTGCACTCAACATTAACTTCGCTAAATATAAAATATAAAACACCACAATCTTCCAAAAATCCATCAACCACCTATCAATAGGAACAAAGGCCAATTCTGCATAAGCAAGTATTCATTCTCATCTTTGAAATTACGTTATTCATTATAAGCCACATGCACCCTGTTCACAAAAGCATCTTCAAAGCTATAATTGCACAATACATGTTGTATTACTTCCTAAACTATGTCTACACAAATTGTATTATGAATTTGACTCTTCATAAACCTGTGAAACAAGTACAAAGGAAAGTATCTGTTCTTTGAAAATCACCTTCACAAATAAAACTACTTTCATAATGAAAGGGCCACAATAAGTCTCCATCATCCTTAAAAATATACTGAAATTACTTGAATGAATTCTTAATTTATGAATTACATACACTGTACGAAAAAATCCAAAGAAATCCATTTGGCAATGATTTTCCTTTCAACACTAAGAACTTTAACAGGCTAAAAATGTTCAAGGATAAAGTAATTTTTTTCACAACTATAATAATACCTACTAAAAGGAAAAAACTACATTTTATCATTAAAATTTCCAAAACCAATTCTTACACAGCTCAAAAGCAAACCAACATGAAAACAAATCCTTCAAGTCTGCCTTTTAAATTTTACATTAAAAAAACCCTTAGATGGGTTTTTAGTTATATAAACCCAACTTACATATTTAGTTATATAAGAACAAGACAGAAAAAAATCTGACAAAGAATCTAAAACTGCTAAATTGGGGGGCAGGGGGATGTGGTGGGAGTTTATTCACACTTCAAATCCTAACTTCAGCACAATGACAGGTCAATCGGTTGGAGCAAATGAAAAAATTTTGCCAACAAGATCGCTGTTGAAACAACCAAATTAAGCCCTAGGTTCTCAGTAGGCAGCTTCTCAAGCTCTAGATGTGTTCTAGGCAGAAATCATTATCCCAGGGGGTTTTCAGCCCTAATCACATAGAATTATTCAGTTAGCAACGTGACGGTTGTATCAGAGATCTGATTTTTGAAAATAACACAGAGAACCAGAATGGAAGGAGAGAGCAATTGGAAAGAAACTAACCTGCCCTGTGATTCTGCCTAGTAAGGCCCATATTCCTTGCCCTTCACTTCGAAGTTTCCCATTCAGGTTTTGTAGTTCTTCTAAAGATTCACACAGCTACAATGCAAATAATTTTATATTAGTAAACCATTAAAGTACATAGTAAAATGTGTGAAAAATTAAACAACTTATCAATATATATCCATAAGTATATTTATATATTCTATAGTTTTAATACATTTAAGTCACAATTCCACTGAGAGATGGGGCTGTCCAAATTAGTTAAGAAGCCTCAACAAAAGGTAAGCATTTTAGTTTAGCATTTTTACTAATAACAATACTACATTTGTATATTTCTATAGTTCACTACATTATTTTACACATATTTTTGCTAATTAATCTTCATGACTATCAAAATGCATTTCTACCAAATCCCAATGAGAAAACTAAGGAACAAAGGGTTTAAATGACGTGGCCAAGATCATAGAACTAGCATGAACCCTCAGGTCTTTTGAATTTAATCCCGGTACTCTTTTCACTACCATGTGGCTAATTATGAGATATTTCTTCCTATTAAGTTTTTATCACTTAAAATGTTAGTTATCTAACAATAAGTTAATACCAGTTTTATATGCTCATGTTACTTATTACCTAACATTTTAGCCACATCTTGCTTTTATACAATCTTTCTTTTTCAGCACCTTCATCATTAGAATGAAGAGGTAGAGTAAAATTTTAATTAGGAGGTTTTTTTAATCAAAAGTAACATTACAAAACAATTCAAGATAAAAACAGTAATTTTATTTTATTTGTTTTTATTAAATTTATTGGAGTCGCATTGTTTAATAAGATCATACGGGTTCAAGTGTACATTTCTATGATACGAGGTCTATCAATTGTACTACTATGTGCCCACGACTCACATATACACAATGGAATACTACTCAGCCATAAGAAAAGATAAAATACTGCCATTTGCAATGACATCGGTGGACCTTGAGAATTTCACATTGTTATGCTTAGTGAAATAAGTCAATCAGAAACATCTAAGAACTACACGATTTCACTCACATGTGGGAAAAATGGTAATTTAATAATAAGTTTCTAAGTTTTCTACAAACTTAAGAGAAGTTCGATAGTCCACAGGGGTTAGGAATCAAGAATTGAGTCAGACTGCTTGGCCTCAAACACCAACTCTATGGCTTGACGACTGACATGAGCCTGTAAGCAAATTACTTCACCTGTTTAGGACTCAGTTTCCTCCCCTGAAAAGGGGAGCAATTAGCATAACCCACATTAAAAAGCTCAAGTGAGAATTTAATGAGTACATCTACAGTTCTCGGAACTGTGCCTGGCACATAGCAAGTGCTCAGCAAGGTGTTAGAGATGTTAATGAAGATAATGCAGGGAAGAAAGTGAAGGGAAGGGCCTAAAAACCCCAGAAGATTTTCAAAATGAAACATAAATAGAAATGCTGTAAAATCACAAAAGAAATCATCAGTAAGATATATTGTCTGTTTTATAGCTAACTTACCTTATTATATTCCACATGAAGCTTTTCTTGTTCATTCTCTAATTTATCCTTTATATTCTTTTGTTCAGCCATATTTTCCTGAATTTGAATCATGCGCATATTTCTCTCTATTTAAAGTAAATATCCAATTTTTTACTTTAGTAGAAAATAAAAGCCAATACACAAAATACACAAGGAAACTACCACAGAGCTGATCACATGGATAAACCAACATTATTTAAAAGTTTTAATTCTATTCACAAATACATGAACCTAGCATTTTACAATAACCCACAACTTATTAGGAAAATAAACATGCCTTTGCTTCATATATGTAGCATGGATAATAAATTAAAAATTGACAGCATGTCAAATCTTGTCATTAGCAAATTGTTCTCATTGAAAATGTGCACGTATCAGTGTCTATACTGACCAAAATAATAATTCACAAAATCGGCAGTGAGAGCAGGTTGCTTATGCTTTCTCCTTCCATCCACACTAGAACTGGTATCTGAATTGTCCACTGGGAAGATATCTGTACTGATCCCCATTAGTTCTGCTTTGCGCATCAGTTTACGGATGGCTGAAGCACTGCTAGTGAGTGGTCTGGGCAATTTCTCTCTGGGAACCCAGGCCTGGGGTCTGGTAGATCGAGCTAGTTCTGCTTTGGCACGATACTGCTGCAGCCGAGCATTGATCCTTGCCTATAAAAAAAGTATACAAATAAAAAAGATATTAAAGTAGAATATACTCCTTGTGATTTTTACTTCCATACTTAGATAAAGTAAAGATAACCGGAATTCCCTCTATCGAGGCAAGTTATATCTATCCACAGTAAGATACACTGGTCCTTAAGGTATACTATATAATTCTTGGGTTATAGTAAATTAGGTCTACCCTTAGTAACAACTGTCCTACTGTATGAACAGAGTTGTCACAAACTAATGTGATTAAGCTGAAGTTTCTCTTCTTAATAATTGGAATAGTGCCCATACATTTACTTAATTGAAATAGAAATACATTTTAAATGATGGGCAAACTGATCAAATCCTTTGCAATAAATAAACATCAGAACAGCCTGAAAAAGTTGTGATCAACATATCACACTGATAGAATAACTTCTTCTAAGCCACTTATTCAGTGTATTAGGAAACATGCTTTATAAATTGCTGCTCTGTTGACTTGATAAGGAGCAATGCATTTAGCTACAAACTATACTCACCATTTAACTGAATGGCAATCTATTTCCTAAGTAACTAACCAAATGTCATAACTATATTTCACATGCCATTGGCAAATACACACGAGATCTGAAATACATAACCTCACAAGAATAAACACGAGTTTCAACATAAATTGCATACCTGTGCTTCTGGTGACAGCTGCTTCTCTCTTTCTTGTAAGGACATTTTACAATAGGACTGTAGAGCCAGGTAGTTTTTCCTCTTCCACTTTCTGTCCAACCTGTCTGCATGCTGCTTACAATAAGCAAAAAATGGATCTGCTATGTCCTACATCAAAAAACAGAGGGGGGAAGTGAACATTTTTATTCCAAAGGGTCATAAAAAACCTAACACAAGAGATAATTTTTTAAATACTCTCCCACATGTCAGTTATTTCTAAAACAGATTACAAAACTAATTTATATACATAATGATAAAAATTGCTTCTTTAGAACCTTAATCCTGTATATCGATATCAATTTAACTATTTTTTTTCTTTAAAAGGTCTTGTGGATTTAAAAATACTGCAGTCAAATCTTATATATTATATCTAATTATAATGGTATGCCTTTAAAAATCTTGTTTAAAATGAATAGGGTTTTAATAATCTTAGGTAGAAATTATCATTAAATATTAAAGTTACGCATACATAGATTAATATTATAAAGCAACCAGAACTAGCCAGAACTAGCCAATGCAGATAAGTGGGACATTTCTAGCCAGCTAGCGATGCGTGGACAGAGTCTAACCAGGACAACAATGGATTAAGAAGGCCAGGCCCTGTCAATAAAACACTTTAGGTATCCCCTTTCATTCTTTATATAACCCTAAAACCATAAATGGAAACACAATTTTCTCATAGCCATCTTTCATGGTACTAGCCCAATGAGTACATTTTTTTATTCATAAAGAGTTGGGTACAAAAAAAGATGAAAAGAAGGTATTTATCAAAAATAGAAATTTTTTAAAAATACAGAGCCTAAAAAAGTAATCTACAATGTAGATTGCTAACAAAATGACAGGTACTCTCAAGGATAAGAAGTAAAGTTAAGCATCCATATAGTTTGTATTTAAGTTATAGTAAAGGAATCTCTTAGTAAGGTGGGGTTTTACAACTCAAAGAGAAATAATCACACACACAGAAACGAATGAGAAAGAACAGAAAGAGAAATAATAATTTTAAAGGAATCTAAAATGTCCTTAACATTGAAACAAATATATGATGCAATTCTGTAGTGTGACACCCACAGATCTCAATAGCATAGCACTGTGGATAAGATCACAGAATTTGGAAATATAAAACCCTGGATACAAATCTTGGCTCCACAATTTACTGGTTTTACAGCTCCCAACAAGTTGCTAAACATCTCTGGGCCTCTGATAACTCATTAGTAAAATAGGCTTGATAATAACTATATGTGGCTATAAAAATAAAACACAAAAATGTAGGTAGGAGATTGCATTCACACATACATGCAGCTGCTGTCTCAATGAAGCGCTCTAAATCTTGGTGACAGAAAATCCTAAATGGAAATAAAGAGTACACTGAAGCCCAATCAAATGGCCAGATCTGAAGTATTACTCATTGTTTTAAAGTAGGAAAGGCTGAAACTGAGTTATCAGATAGAATTCATGCTTGCATGGCTAAGTTAGACATTGGGGCCAAAGCCTGACTTAGGAAGACCAGTCCGTCATTTTTGGTCTCAAAGGTATCTGAAAGGGAGTAAGTAGCCCAAGTGATGCTTTGTGGTGGTTGTTGTTGTTTTGTTTGTTTGTTTTAATCAGTTAATTTTGGACTGAGGGACAATACACCCTAATTCTAAGGTTAACATGACCAAGGGATTCATCTTGTTTAGAGAATGGAACATGTATATTAAGCAAATTTCAACTACTGTAAAAACCACCACCTTCTAATACCTATTCTTCTCTTTTCTTCCCTTTAGTACTAGAACCCTCTGAGTTTTTACTGAGTACATGGCTACCCTGCTGGAAACATTCTGCTTCAGCCTCCCAGCAACCAGATATGGTCATGTGATAACTTCTGGCCAATGAGGTGTATGAAATTTCCAGACCGTGTTCTTGAAAGAAAGCTTAACTCTGAATCTCCTTTTTCCTCCTTCGAACAGGGTGAACCCAGTCAAAGTGGTATTAAACTATCTCCGACCATGTGAGAAAAATATAGTAATTTACACATACACAAAATTTTTTAAAAAGAGTGGCACCATTTTACATTTTTGTAAATCAGTTTAATGTTTACACAATTGACATAAAGGAAGATAGCTTGATTCTCAAAACTGTTTCCATATTCAAAAAATGTTATATTGTTATGTTATGTAATCTCTGGATATCACCCCCGCTGCTCAAGAGAAAATTAAGAATAAAAACAGTATTCACCACTTTCATATTGTCATGAAGATAGCTTTAACTTCACAGACCCCTTGAAATAATATTAGGGAGTCTCTAAAACACACTTTTAAAACAACTTATTGCTTAATTTAAAGCTGATAAACTTAGAAGGAAAATTATAGAATTAAAAATAATCATAAAAAGATAGAAATGCAGCTTATAAAGACAAAGTAATGACTTTATTTAGAGAGTAATAGCAAGATTATTACCTAAATACAATTTCCAATTCTCATATAAAGTATGCTGACATTTTAACGCTTTAAGACACTTCAGATTGTTTCATTTCATCCATCAGATCTCACTACCAAATTTTAACATGTTTTTCAAATGTCTGACTTGCTTTAAGACTGAGAAAACCACCCTGGCTGCTGTGGTTCAGTGAATTGAGTGCTGGCCTGCAAACCAAAGGGTCATAGGTTTGATTCCCAGTCAGGGCACATTCCTGGGTTGTAGGCCAGGTCTCCAGTGGCAGTCATGTGAGAGGAAATCACACATTGCTGTCTCTCTCCCTCTCTTTCTCCCTCCCTTCCCCTCTCTCTAAAAATAAAATCTTAAAAAAAAAAAAAGACTGAGAAAAGCTCACATATATTGTTTACTCCTGAAGTTTTAGACCAGCAATCTGGGCAAAGACTTTAAGAATAAACTTGTAAGTTTAACTGACGAGGCATACCTGTTGCAGGATGTAACTGCATCATGAGAAGTCTCATGATACATGTTCATCAACTATGGGTTTAAATAAACCTACCTCCTCCGCTGCTGCCTCTGAAAGCAGACCTTCCTTCTGGGCACAGGTCACGTGGAAATAAGCCCTGCACATCCCTGCATCACAGCTAATGCAAACTCCAGTTCTAGCAAAACGAGGGTCTTCACAGAAGCTGCATTCCTACAATGGAGTAACAGGGAAGTGCTCAGTGTATAGATATATCTCCAGGACAAAGATAGCATTCTCAAATGAAGCATCCACAAAATGCACACAGTGAACCAATAGTGTATATTAATGCAAACAGTAACTCTGGGCAAGCCAAGAGTTTATATGAAAAAAGTAATTCTCTATGTAGTTCAAACAAACCAAGTTTCACTGACATAATAATAATGATATTATTATTTGAGGGTTTATCATATATTAGGCACTATTCTAAGTACTTTATATATATTAATATCATTTGATAATATTTCACACTGATATGTGAATGAGATACTATAAGTATTCCCATTTTATACATGAGAAACTTGAGGTAAAGAGAGGTTAATAAATCTGCTCAAAATAACACAAGAAATAATTGGGAACCAGTCTTCCAGCCAGGATAATCTTACTTTACAGTCCATGCTTTTAACCATTAAGCTACACTGATTGGAACAATATAATACTACTTGTAAAAATGAATGACAGTAAACAAAAACTCAAAGAAAATTCACCAAAAGATCTAGGCATTACAACCAAAGAAATCATGCATTTTTAAAATATCTTCAAGAAAATTAAAAGTAACCTTAAATGAATAATTTGGTGAAATCAGTAGTGATACCTGATATAGACAATTATTTATATTATTTCTGTATATGAGGGAAAACTGTAAAACTGAAAGTATAAACTGCTGAAATTATCCCAAATTCCCTCCAAATCTATTTTTTTATCCTTTTAACTCTCTTAACTACACAGAGGAAAAAAATACAGTCTCAAAATATATACTGCTTTGGTATAGGAATCTTCATAAAAGAAAAACTTGCTAAATTGTGGATGACTGCCAATAGATAATTAAGGAAGTTCTACTTAGTAAATGTTTTCTAAGTAAATTAAGTATAAGGGAAACACATAAAAGGGGGAAGTTTCAGTCGGCACTAGAAACACTGTTAAAATACAGTTAGTGTCTCCCTAGTGGGGACACGTCACCAGACGGACACATCAGCAGTGAGTGAAAACAGCGGGAGCAGGACTTTGGGTGCTGATGTGAAAACACTCCCAACTCCTGATACTCTACTGCCTATTTAAGGGTCTTTTCCCAATAATAGTAGAATGCGTGTGCTATGAAATACCAGCAAATAGTAATGTAAACATGATACCAAAAAGAGAGAGAGAGAGAATAGAGAGAGAGGGCAGGAAAGAAAAAGAGAGATTAAATTATTTAAAGGATGTCGATACTATGAACAGAACCAAACTGCTGCGAATAGTTCCCTGTGTAATTTAATATAATGTGATACAAGTGAGCAAGGGATTTCAGAGTGAATACAAAGAAAAATTTCCTGACAAAAAATCTGACTTACAAGAGTGTAGAAAAACCTATGAGAGAAAACAGAATATTCCTTAATTGCCTGAATCACTTCAGATGCTTAGAGAGCTCAGCAACTGAGAACACAGGGGAGAAGCAGTCAAGGTCAGGAAATGGGTGGACAACGTGGCCCAGAAGAGCTGCCCCTGTTTTAATTCACAGCACTGTGCTTGATTTTGCAGTTCAGGTAGAGAATACATACTTCTCTACTCCTTTTCCTAGTAATACTTCAAAATAAAAGCAAGTAATAATGAGAAAAGTCAGCTAACAATTGGACATTTAATGACTTCTCAATCCACAGGCTACTGCTGGCTTCAGTTATACAAAGTAATATTTAGTTACTGTTTTTTTCTAGATTTATATTTATGATAATAATATATGCCTCTTTAAAAAATGACTTAAGCTAGTCCCTTCTGGCTCTGTGCTTGTAGATTATGAAGCTACTATCAAAATGCAGTTACTTCTACTTCGAATAATGGTGAACTAGGTAATCTGTATTAATGTGACTGAACTAGAAAATGTGGACAAATTTTTTTTTTAACTACAGCTTAAAGGCATTTGAGAGGTAACAAGACAGTGTAGAATTACCTGAGGACCAGGAAAGTAAATTCAGTGCCTGGGCCTGCTTTTTTCCCTGGGGGTTTTAGCTAATTCTGGAGGGGGAAACTACAGATAGTTAAACAAAAATTATCCAAACTACAGCACAGACTTACTCGAGTGCAGGGGGGGAAAGGGCGTGAGGCAGGGGGGTGGTTAGAGCCCAAGGAAGATACCCTGAATATAATTTCAGAAACTGTCAAATTTCAAAGTTTTCAATGTCAAAATTTTCCAACAATCTATAAATTCCACACTTCATCTTTAACATGTTTCTGATACTATTCAAGAGTTTTTCTTCCCAATTTCCCAAGAAGCAGTAATGAAAAGAGAACATATTAGTACCCAGTTAGTTCTAGTATTCCAAGATATTTGTAGTAATTGTACACCTGAGTTTAAATTAATAAGTGGGTATTTTTAGCATTTATAAGCCTAAAGATAAGTCAATAAAAATTAATCTATAAACAATCAAAGCTGAGAATCATTTACTCAGCAGGTTATGTAGTCATAGTGATAAAACCGGTCCTCGAAACCTGAGTAATGTGCTTCCAGTACTCTTTGTCACAATTTTGACAAATTCCACTTCAAAAGTAAAGTCAGAAATTAGGTTTTCATTTGATACAACCAATTAAAAACAAGGATTTGTTCTGAGAACTCAGTATATACCAGGCAGTGTGTTAAATGCCAGAGAAATAGCAGTAGTGCTAATTACAATTTTACCACCACAGGTTATTATAAATTGAAAATACATGGGAGAATTTATACATTTTTGACTTTCTGAGAAAATTACTATAAATGATAAAGTGACTTAATGCTCACTACTATACAAATAGCATTATTAGTAACAATCATCTCTGTAGTCAACAATAGTAGTAAAAAGTCGTGCAAATTAATAAGTGAAAACTTTTCCAGGCAATCAAAAACACTTTGTCTCACCTTGGCACCATACTTGGAGTAGTTCATTTCAGTTAGTGTTACTGGTCGTAATTTGTCGATATCTCCAAATGCTACTCCAGGAACGTACAGGGCACAAACAATGTGAACCCATCTATAAGGAGAGAACATAAACATTTGCCATCAAATCCTTTTATAAAATGTCCACATGGAAAACAGACATAAAATGTATACTATCTCAAGTAACTACTGAAAAAGTTCTGTGGTCAGCTTTCGAAATTTCAGACACACAACTGAAGAATATGGAACACGTATAGAATATCTTTTCTTTACAGAAAAAGAGACAACAAGCACTACTTTTCCGGCAAGCTAAGAGCTAACCCTTACCTACTTCACTTTGTACTTATCTGTTATTCTTAAATGTTTGCACAAAACCATCACTCACATGAAAGAAAACATCATTTTCATATGTAAGAAAAAGTATTCATATTCATTATTTTAAGCTTTGAGATTTAAGATCTTAGTTTAATACTGTGAAGTTACTCTGTAGTAATTAGGTAAAATAGCTCCTGTTACATTTTTTTTCTAAAATCTGTTGGATAATACTTAAGGACATATTTTAAAAGAATATTGGATATGCACCTTGACTTTCTTCCCCGGTTACAACTGATCACTAGAAAACTGTACAGAACAGTTATAATAATACAAGGAAGTCATATTTCATTCACACATCTCTTCCCCATACAACCTACACCCTACAACTTATATCCCCCGCATACAAATTTGTTAAGGTCTGAATGATGCTGCAACACTAAACAAAGAATGCTCAAAGTCTCAGCACACTCAGAGAGACAAATGGAAGTTGATTCTAATTCTTTTTTTTCAGTGCTCTGAACCTTCTTTAATATATTAGACTCCACTTCTGTTTGCTATCAACCAAACAAAATATGGATCACTGGATTTTGAAATTTAAACAGATCTATATCCCTTCTGTAAAAAAGGGTAAAAATGAGATGGCAAATCTCTCTTACCTTGTGAATATATTAACAATTTCTGCTTTATCACAGCCTGACAGACTGTGATTGCTACATGGTTCTGTTTTGTGATACACTAAGAGTTTTAAAGAAGAAAGACTAAGAGTCATTTTATAAAGGTTCTAGGTAAAATAGTTACAAATCTTTTTAAATTATCTTTTTTATTGGAAGAAAATCCAAGGTTTTGAGATTTTTCCTTGATAGAATGTTTTAATCCAGCCTCCCAAATGCATCCCGTGGAGTTCAATATAAAGATACACATCTTCAACAAGCAGCTTTCTCAATTTAATTTGCTCAGTTTTTTCATGCTCCACTGGTGTATTAAGTGCCGCTGCACTCTGCAGGAGTTTATCTTTGATAAACTCAACAGCTGGCTGCTTGCTTCATACTGACCTTCTTAATATGTTTTAGTACAAGTCACACAAAGTACTATAGATTTAAACTGCCATTTCAGTAGGACTGACACACAAGTGTATCATTTTCCCCAACCACTCATGAGAAGATGCCAACATTAGTCTTTATTAAAGGGCATTCAAAAAGCTGAAACAATGTTGGTCCTTATTAATACCTGTTGTAAATAGCATTTAATTCATTTGTTTAGCTGCACATACTTTAGAACTTTGTAATTAAGACAAATCAAGAATTCAAAAAGGAATAATCTTCCTTGTTACTTTACCATCCACTTTGCTTGGAGCTATGATGACAGATGTTGATTGGGGAAAGGAGCAGAAAACAAGCATCACATAAAACCACCAAAAAACAAAGAGTCAGAATTGTTATTCTAGTATAGAAACTATTAATAGATTCTTTTAAATTCACATATTTTAATAAAGCAAACTAAGGAGAAAGATACTTCTCAAAAGACTCATTTCAGAATAGGAACAACATTAATCAATCAAATTTGATTCTCGAATGCCTTGAATTTGTAGTGCCTTTACAACATATAAAGCAAATTCACTTCCAGTATGTTATTTTCAGTTTCTCATTTATTCATTCAATGATCACTTACTAAGTTTCTACTGGGAACAGGCCACCACACAGGCAGGTTGGAGGTCTAATAATGAATGCAAGTGCTTCCAGCATTGCCTAACATTCTATTTCTAGATATTGGAGTTTGTCTGATATTGCCAATAATCAGGTTTATTAAATCACTTAGGACAGGGTAACATACTCTAAGAAATGAAATAAAAACTTAATGACAAGAATATACTGATGGCTTTCTCACATTCAAAAACATCACTTCATATGTAGAACTGGTGGCTACCATCAGAAACAAGGAAATAAATATCATTAGCCCATGTAACAGAGTTCAATTTCAAAACTTTTTTCCTTTCCATTCAATGGTCTTTCTCTTTCCCTGTTTTCCATGTGAACCTAGAATACTAAATGTCTTGTCAAATCTTCTTGTTTTCTGGGAGGTTTTTTGCCTTGAATCAAGCTAGTATTATCGTCAAATTTTATCAAGACCTGTAATTTCTACTAGCATATAGATGAATGTGTATATAAACATAAATAAATTGTTCAAATAGTACAAAAGAACTTTTGCCAGACTGAGCAATTAAGGGAGATGTGTATGTGTGTATATTATATAATATATATAGTATAATACAATACACACACACACACACACACACACACACACAAGGTCCACAGGAGTCAATACAAATCTCTCTCAGTAAATCTAAGTGGCTAAAGAGGCCTCCCTTTCCTGCATTCTGAAGCAGCTTTACAAGTTGCTTTGTCAATTGTGATAACATGAAGAGACAGCTACTTTAAAGTTTTCAATAAAATTTTCAAATTGTTACCAAAAAAAAAAAAAAAACAACAACCAAAAAAAAACCACCCCTCCTCCCGGAAAGGAAGGTCTATGAAGCTCAGTGTTTTCCAAAGTTGACTTATTTATTCACCACAATTTACGACCATAAACTTCAACTCTCAGAACTAAAGAGTTACTAGAAAGAATTTACGCAGCTGGTACTCTGTGATTACCTTAAATAAGGAGAATACTATTTTTAATAAGAAAGCACTAGCCCTGGCTGGTGTGGCTCAGTGAATTGAGCACCGGCCTGCAAACCAAAGCTGGTTCGATTCCCAGTCAGGGCACTTGCCTGGGTTGCAGGTCAGGTCCCCATTTGGGGCATGGAGAGCAACCGAAAGATATCTCCCTTGCACATCTATGTTTCTCTCCCTCTCTTTCTCCCTCCCCTCTCCTCTCTCTAAAAATAAATAAATAAAATCTTAAAAAAGAAAGCACCAGTAGTAGCAGTGGTAGCAGCAGCAACTGAACTAAGGAGACATTCAATGACCACCATTATGTGCCAGATACTGTATAATTATTTTATAAGAATCATCTCATTTAATTTTCTCAAAAGGGCTAAGGAAACTGAGGCATAAAGAACTTAAATCACTTGACTTAAAATTAGAGTTACTAAGAAATCTAAATATAGGTAGTCCATCTTAAAAGCCAACACTTGAAATGCTATATTAAACTCCCTAATTCCAGGACAAAGTCAGTCCAACATAAAATAATGCCTCTGTCTATGGTACAGACCACAGATTCGTATCAAGTGTCCAATTGTTTGTTATATTTTTTGGGAGGAGATCAGAAATGAGGAAAAAGAGGTAAGAAGTTTAGCCAATTTTTTCTTGAAATCCACACACAGGACTCTCTAAGAGTTCATGGCAGAGCATACCCCAACAACATTAGACAGCAGCATTTCTCAAGGGCCTATGTACCAATTGAGGCAAAAATGAGAAAAGGAAGAAAAATATTTTTTTACCTTACTAAAGTAACACTTATTAAATTTTAAATCCTATCCTTTATTTTGGAACAGAATGCATCCTATCCTTTCCAGTGCTAAAATATGAGAAATGATGGTGATAATTTGTATAGGTTCTGTTCTTGTTACAATCTTAAACATGTTTGATAAAAATACTGAAATATTTTTATGTTGCAAAATAAAATATTGAGCACCGCCCGTATAAGGAGGAGTGAGAGTGGAGACGGTGTGGGTGGTAATCCACAAGGTACAAAATGTTAGGAACTACTCCTACATTTCCGCCATCCATCCCAGATGGTAGTCTTCTAAGAAAAAACAGGAAAGACATCACACTATTCTGGTAACAACTGCTTAGATGTGATAATAAATATAAGTGTGAATACAATAGTGAAAGAACACAGGTGTTTGTGCCAGTTAACAATTTACTGCCTCTCAGCTCCAACTCTGTATCTGCGCTGCAGTAATGCATAGAAGCCCTACAGCAAGCATTCCTGCTTTACAGTGAGCATGACGTTAAGCTTCCTCAGAGTGGTGGAGGACATTGCAGGAGGACAGGGCTTCTCAGCAAGGACAGAGGATGAGAAGAGGACATCTGCCAGAGCCCTGCCCCAACCACATGCATCGTCCTCCAATGACCTTGCAGGCCCAGCCTGGAGATCCCTTTTCTGAGGCCTTCACAACACAGACACCACAGGTAGGGCCCTGACTCCCTGTGCAACCTGTGCACAGCCATCTGTACTTGCCAAGAACCACAGGGCAGGTCTGGCCAAGGTACACCAGCAAACTTCCCTGCCATTTGGTAGGCTACAACTACACCTTCTCCAACAAGGTCTGAGCCCCAGCCTGGGAGCAGGGATTATCCTTCTAATCTTTTGTAGTTCTTTTATATCTCATAGTTACTTTTTATCAGAGCTTAATAATTCTTTAAATTAAACTTCCCCTTTTAACTCACTATATGGGTTCTGTCCCCTAATATATTCTTAGAGTCAAAAAGATACAGGTTCAGCTCTGGCTGGGAAGCTCTCACTTGGTTAGAGCGTCATCTCACCACACCAAGGTTAAAGGTTGATCCCCAGTCAGGGCACATACAAGAATCAACCAATGAATGCATAAATAAGTGGAACTACAAATTGATGTGTGTGTGTCTCTCTCCACCTGCCTTCCTCTCTTTCTCTAAATTCGATCAAATCAAATCAACTAATAAAGGTATGGGTTCAAACTTGATTGTTCACTAGCTTGTGGTTTTGAGAAAATTGAAATTAGTTAAACAATCTGAGCCTTAGTTAGGTACTACACCTATAAAATTAGGAACTTCATAACCTGTATCACTACAGGGCTAATATTAAGATTAATTAGGATACTGGGTATACAGACCAATGTAAGTATTTAAAAAATGGTCTTCCCTCCTTGCCACTCTGATTTTTAGCATTTACTCTCTGCCAAGAAGATACAAAAAGCATTAAAGGAAAGGGTGTAACTCAGAAAATCAGAGTAAAAGACAGAGTCAAAAGTAGACACATTATAAAGCAGGCATATTAACCCAACAGAATTATGACATCGACCTTCCAGCATCTGTCTCCTTGAAAATTCCATCCTGATTAGGACACAGTTCACAGCTAGGGGAAACACCACATTTACATGCATCACAAAACCAAGGTTCAGTGGAGTTTTCAGAAGCTGAACTCATAATAGAGTCACTCTCTCCATCAACTCCATAGCAACCTAAAAAACAAGAAAAAAAAGTATGATTAAATAATTTATTTTTTTAATTTAAATTTATAAAATCACAAAAGGAAAAAGGAAACAGAAGAGAAAAATTCTAAAAAAATTGTTTATAATAATAATATGAATGTCAAAACACAAAGATAAAATCTTTTTATAAAAAATACTTCTTACCTACCATAAAATATGCAATAAAATAAATGACTTTTTAAAATAGTTTTAGACCTACTGAAAAATCACTAGAGGATGGGAAAAATTTACAGTTCTTTAAAACTTTTTTTAATTTAAAAAATACTTAAATATGAGTTTTCACTAAAAAAATCAAACTGAGTCTAGGAACTATTGATTTGTAAAAATTTGTTTAGCTTTCTTTGCAGAACAAACATACAAACAAAAAAGTCTCTCACCTAATTTTGGAGGTGGCAGATTAGAATGCAAACTCATACAACCATAACTGCAAAGTAAACATTAGTCAAAGGAAAAGAAGGGCAATACAACATTTGAACCGTTCAGACTAGAGTCAGACAAACTGAGTTCCATTCAAAAATGAGCCAACCAGCTATGAGGTGTTTTTTTAAAAAAACATTTATAATTCAATCTTCTGTAAAAATGTACCCATAACTGAAATGAATGGAAACATTCCTCTTCTCATTCACTAATAACCTGTGTTCTGATAGGAGTTAGTTAATGTGATAAAAATGTTTAAAGATAACTAACTCATGAACATACCAAATAAACATTACTTAGCGTTGTTCTTTATCTTTTAGAGTAGGGCATGTTATTCTTCAACTACCTTCAAATTATCAAAAGCAAAAAGTTTCCTTATCACTCAAATATGCATGTCTGGGATTACAAATAATATTTAAAGTTATTATCTGGGTTTCCAAATCTGTCTAAAATTTGCATAAAATTAAAAGATTTTCCTTGATTTTGAGCTTTAAGAAGGTAGATGGGTGTCAAAGCTGTCAGTCAACAGGAGATTCAGGCAGTGCGTCACGGTCGGCATCCTGGTAAGATCAGGTTCTCATCATTAAAATTCCTGAAATTCAGTTTTGTCCACAAACTAGAGATGATGAGACTCTCAGTACCCGACAAACCAGTCTAACTCACTAGAAAGTGACATAGCCTCTAGTACAATTATTTCTTCCTCAGTACAAAGATACCAAGAAAATGTATTGGCATCAGCAAAATACTGATACTCCTGGAATCCAATAAAGGAAAATTGAAAAACTGAGAGATAATTTCACCCAGACTATAAAAAACTATGCTGTACTAGTGATGGGTTACAATAAATATCATTTCCCTGGTGGCTAAAATAGTGACTCCTAAATAATTTTATTTTTCCTAAATGGTGCTGGATAGACACCAACTTGATATAATCCAATTTCTCTTCCTCTGTAAAAGAAGACATGGTCCTCATGTTTAAACATCCATCAGAGAAACAATATATTCCATGTACGGTAGTGCAACAGATTACAACTTAATTCTAGTCCAGATGGATGCCCTTGTCATCTTCAGGCCTGGGCATTTTCTCTCCTCTCCTAAGACACATTTATGACCTCTCAAGATATGTCGCTTCCCCAGAGAGCCAAACGTGAGCCATCCCAAGATACTTTTCACCAGGTTTATTCTAGCAAGGGAGTCCTGGTGACAAATTGTAAGGGGCACCAGAGTAACTTTCCATAAAATGAAGACATGAGAAAAACCACTATAAGAAAGATATATAAATAATGATCACCTCTCAAAGGCTTCGTCACTTAGGTTAGTTTATATATCCGTGTGCATTACATGACTGGAAGGCCATGTGATTTTGCGACACGGCTGTGTACCAACCAGACAAAAAGAACCTAAGCTGGAGAGTGCCTCCTCACAACCACTAAAGGTATTTATTGAAGTAAATAAAGAACTACATAAATAAGTAAAACAAATCACTCAGAAAGAGAAAAACAACGTACAACTGATAAATAATTTTTAACTAACATTAATTTACTAGGTGTCATTAATAGGTCAAGACTCACATGTAAGCATTTTATTCATACTACCATGCAATACAGACTATAATTAAAACAACCTAGTAGGCAAGAAACTAAAAGCTGATTTGCAGCTATGATTTACATAAGCTGCCTCAAAAAATCCAATAATCATTGTCATCCTTAAGCTATTCAATGGCTTTATAGTAGTAATAATGTAAAAGTCATATGAAAGAATGCCAAAGAAAAGATTTTAAATAAACTAGACTACAGAGTACAAGATAAGCAAAGTAATCAAAATTCATTAATTTCTTTAACATCATTAAAATGTGTTGGTAATCATCATCTTCATCACTGACAGATCATATAATTAAAAGGGAATATAATTTCCTTCTTGGGAGCAGTTATTATTCATTGTCACCAAAGCAAAATATTGTATTTAAAGAAAAATCATAAAGCAAACAAACAGTCACCCTGCTTTTTCAAAGGGTTGAACAATAATACAAGGGAAAGAATCTATTTTCTTTACAAAATAATGTTCCCTTTAAAGCAAATTCTTTCATTTGTATTCACACAAATAATGAAGCCCTGAAGGGGCTATCCATTTTATTCTTTTCACTCACCAAAATCAAGGTAAATAAAAGTTCACTTTTTTTTTTACAATAAAGCAATATTTCAATTCAATTTTTTTAAGAATATACTACACACAGAGCAAACATTTGCTGGATATTTAATGTCCTAGGAACAAACCTCTGGATTGATTTCTGAGAGCCTCTCCTAGAAAATTTCTACTTGTAAGCTGGAAGACTGGTATCACGCAAGCTCAAAGGCCAACCAGCAAGTGGGCACCTACTTCACCGGCAGCTCTACTGCCCCTGATAAAGAGCCCACACTGTGTGTTCGCCTTTACAAGGTTCTTTCCTTGCTGGCCGCCTGCCATTCTTCCCATCTTTCTTTGACATACCCGTTTGGGTATACTCAGCTCCAGACCAAAGTTACAGCACTTAAAACTCTAATCTATTTTAATTAGTGACTACATACCTTTTTAAATCTTTTTTTTCCTTTCTCTCATACAAAACAGAATCTAGAATACCACTAAATAATGTTTACTCTCTTTTACCTAACTCTAAATAGAATCTGCAAAAAGTGCATCTTCAATATGATTAAGGAAAAGTTTTTTTTTTAATATGGGTAAATGTAAAATAAAACATTTATATAAAACCCATTTCAGATAGATTAATCATGTTTTCAAATGAGTAAACATAGAAAATGTTTCTATGGCTAATTAGGATCAACCTTTAAGTAACATATGCAAACTACACCCATCATTGCTGAGGAAAAATAGTGTAAAATGTGTTTACAGTTGTTTTGAATTATACAAAGGTATGGATAGTGCAAACGGGTGGAAATTTTCCCCATTCAACTTGTCAGGAGGGACCAAAAGACCTGCAGCCTTCTACCTTCTGGCGATGTATCTGGACAAACTGCATCTCCTAGGCTAAACTGCCTCATCTGCAATATGTACTTAATTATATCTATTCTAATTATCTCTCAGTATAGAAAGGAAGAAATAGGGGCACAAAAGCTGCCATTAAAAAACTCAAAACACTTCTTAGTTATTTAAAATAGTATCCTCTGATTACACTAAACCTCCAATTATAATATCCACTAAAAGGTTTTAAAGTAATGTTATTTATTAGAAAAGGCCGTATACATGATACCTGTCAGAAATATACCCTAAAGCACAAAAGAACCAAAGTGTCTTTTGACTTGTAAGTCCAAATGGTTATCACTTGAACAGACTTTTACTATCCAGTAAACACTCATGCAGATATATTTTTGTATACATTAAGAAATAAAAATGGTGTAAGACTAGACTAATAGCAGAATGAAAAATAAACAAATTGGTGGAAAACATCTCTTAGTAGAAACCTGATCTGATTTAATGCACAGCAACTAAACTTAAGGGTAATCACTGGCAAGTGCACTACCTAATTCTCTGTCTTGTACTATAACACACACCTGACATTTTTCTTCAGACACGGTGCAATCAGCGTATCATGAAAACTGACATCCCAGTCAGGGGTACCCTAGTATTACAAGTCAGTTACAAGACCTTGTCACAAAGGTGTTTACACTAAGTGACAGTTTGGAACCCTTCAATTTCAAAAAGAAAAGAGATTTATCTACAGTTAGGTGAGGTGAGTCCTCTGAAAACTAATTAGACAAGCATACATTTAAAAATACATCTGGAGTACTATCTTTTAGTAGAACCTCAACTTTAAAGTCTCCCAATTATAATTATTTAAGGCATATGTTTAAAAAGGAGGAGGAGAAAAAAAGATAAAGGAAATATACCAAAACACTAACTAGGGTTTTCTAGATACGAGGACTATTGGAAATGTTTTTTTTTCTCTCTCTGTTCTCTATTTCCCACAATTCATTTAATGTTCATGTATTATATTATGATGGGCAAATAGTTTCTCTCTAAAATAAAGCATTCAAGTTCATGTTTAACCAGGAGATGTTTAAGGAAAGGTTGCATGGCTGGATTACAATATGGAAACCTGTCATTTAGGCACCTGACTTTTCAACAAGCAAATAAACCTTAGTAACACTCGTTTCTTATTATGCTTTAAAAATTTCTCTTTTTCTCAATTAATTTTACATGAAAATTCATTTAAGGACTTAAAAAGTAGTAAAAAAAAATCTACAAATGTGACTATAAAAAAGAACATTCTAGACAGTGAAAAATACCACAAAGTGAAAAGGTACAGGACAGGGTAGAAAAAGGATTTGTTAAAGATGGAAAATAATTGTAACACAAAGAGCAGGCAAAGGATAGTCAATGAGAAAAAGACAAGTAAAACCTATTTTAAAATGACAAAGCAAATGTATAGCAAGTAACAAAATAAAATGCAACAGCCTGTTGGGGAAGGTCATCACCATCACTAGTGGACCCAGCAGCTGGACCTGGGCAACTAAAGGCTTCCCACTCCCTCCCCTGTATGTGGAATTGTGCATTTCCCTGTGCTAGAAGCTGCCCAAGTATACAGACTTGAGACAGAAATATGCTGATGAGATTATCTAGACTTGGTACTGACTGAACACTGTTAAGGCCTCCTGTGTAAGTGACTGACCCCAGCTAAGGCTTGGGGTGTAAATCTTTTTTATCCTCATTTGAGGACATCTTTTCATTGCTTCTAGAGGGGGTTGGGGAAAGACAGGGACATCAATGTGAGAGAGAAACATCCACTGGCTGCCTTCTCTCTCGCACACCCCAAACTGGCAACCTGGGTATGTGCCCTACCCTAACTAGGAATCAAACCCACAACCCTTTGGTCTATGTATGGTACTCAGCTCCAACACAGCCATTCTGGCCAGGGCAAGGCTGCTATGTAAGCTTTCAAGATTCTTATCAGTGGATGCAGAAAACTACTTGTCTTGTGGCTGCCCACAATAAGTTTCCTAAGTTCCTTTGCTTATTAAACCTGCCACCTACCAACCTGGAGTGATGTGCCTTTTTCCTCAGTGGCTCGTCTGCAGGCTGATAAGTCCCAAATTTACAATCTCTAGTCCCAATGTCTTACTACACCCAGAGAATCTAAAACCAAACTTATCCTATCTACCTCCAAATCTATTCCTCTCTTGGATCACTGCAACGGTCTCCCTAAACCATCTCCCTAAATCCCACCTTAGACCTAGTAGACTGCTTCAGTCTAGTCTCAACCCAATAGGTTGATCCTTCCAAAATATGTCAAATCAGATTAACGCTCTGATCAAAACTCATGCATGTTTTCCTATACCCATCACAGTAAAATATAAAATCAGTACTATTAACCACAAGGCTTCACCTGGTTTGTCCCCGTCTCTATCCCATCACAAAGCAGCTCACTCATTCGGTTCCAGCCATACCAATCTCTGTGCCATTACACAAACGCTCCAAGTATGTTCCTATTCCAAGATCTTTACACTCACTACTCCCTCTTCCTAGAGTGATCTTTCCCCAAATACTCATATGGCTTCTCCCTGACATCCTTCAGTCAACTGCTCAAATATCACCTTATCAGACAGTTTTATCACTTTTTATAAATTCAAACTTCTACCTATCCACTCAACCACCCACCTGCACCCATAGCATTCCCACTAATCCTTGTCCTGGTTTATTTTTCTCCATTGTCCAGATCACCACCTGATACATACTTATTTATTATTTCATTTTTCCATTGCCTGTCTTTCTTACCTAAACATTAAGCTCCATGAAGTCAGCATTTTCTATATTCTATTTATTTTACATGTGTAAAACCTACGGAATGCCTAGTACATGGAAGGTACTCAACAAACATTACTGAAAAAAATAGATGAATGAATAATAAAAAGAGGAGACATTCCCACAGTAAACCCTAATGACAAGCAAGGGCAATTTCATATGAAGGCAAGAGGATGGGTTAAACAGCACAGGCCCCACAGGTCCGCAGGGTCCCACAGGCCCAGCAGACTCTCAAACTAGCTGCGAGGAGTACTGTAATAACAGAAAGACAGGCAAAGCAGGGCCATAGAAACGCTGTTCTGTGGAAGTCATGGCCATGATAGAAAAAAATTTAATTGTCCTGGCCATGTAGTTCACTTGGTTAAAGCGTTGTACCAATACACTAAGGCTGTGGGTTTGATCCCTGGCAGGGCACATAAAAGAATCAACCAATGAATGCATAAATAAGTGAAACAACAGACAGACAGCTCTCTCTCTCCCTTCTTCTCTCTAAAATCAATCAATCAATAAAATTTTTTTAAAAGAGGAAAAAGTTACCATATTTTGCTGTGTATAATGCACATTTTTTGCCCCAATTCTTGAGGGAAAAATAAGGGTGCACATTATACATGGGTAGTACTAATTCCATATCTATATAAATGTTTTTAATTATTTTATTTATGCTTATGCATTAAAAGTGTAACTCTAGAAAGCAATAATGATACCTGTATGCAAAATAATACCCTAGAATATATTTGGTTTTGTTTCTAAATATAAATAAATAAATAACTGAATTGAAAATTAAAATGAAAGATTTTTTTCCCCGATTGGGCCAAAGTTTGGGCCAAAAACCTGAGTGCGCATTATACATAGCTAAATACAGTAACTGATAGGAAAATATAAAATGTTACTGCAGAGTGACCTTGAAGACATCTTCTCAGCCAAGCGATCAAGGTAGTAACATCACCAGCAACTGGACAAATAAACATTATATGCTTTCTAATATGATGCACTAAGAATACAATGAAACTTCTGTGATATTCCTGCCTAAAGCACATAATCTGAATCTGATAATAAAAAAAAATTTTTTTAACATATTAAGGACATTCTATAAAATAATTGGCCAGTATTCTTCAAAAATACCAATGGCATGAAACACAAAGGCTCAGGATATTTTCTAGATGAAAGGTGACCAAATAGTCAAGACAACTGAATGAAACCAATGATTCTAGATTTTATTTTGCTAGAATTGACATTATTGGGATGATAGGTAAAAAAATGCGAATACAATGGGTAGATAATAGTATTCTATCAGTGCTAATTTGCTGACTTTGATAATTATGTGGTTACCAGTATATAAGAAAATGCCCTTTTTCTTAAGAAATACATACAGGTATTCAGGGGTATAGGGGGCATTATATCTATAGTTTACTCTCACAGAGGTCAGAAAAAAAACTTTTATATGAATGAGTACATAAAACAAGTACAGCAAAATGTTACCATCTATGATATCTGAGTAAAAAAAAGGGGACTTCTTTGTATTACTCTTATAACTTTTCTGTAAGTCAGAAATTACATCAAAATAAAAATTTTAAGGAAAAAATAAAAATGAAAATTATAATCAGGAAAAATACTTTCAATATGTTACAGTGACTCCTATTTCAGATTTTAAAAATGACCTCTATATATTCTCCTTTCAAGTTACAAATTTAAATAACTATGAAAGAAGTGTATAACATCACTAGACTTAGAATGTAGCTTTTTAAATACTGTAATACATTCTACTAGACTAAAATATTAGACTTTTTCTACAACTAAATTTCATTGAAAAACTAGAAATAAATAATGCCATGAAGAAAAAATATAACACTGACCATCAAAGAAATACTGTGGCTTCCACATAATAAGATTTCTATTTTAATTATTTAAAAACACATTCAGAGTGAGGGGGGATTGTTGAGGGTAAAGAAGTTCAAACCTATGGTAACAGAAGGAGACTAAACTTTGAGTGATGAGCACACAATATACAGATGACATATTATAATATTATGCAACTGATATTATAGTAACTGATATCACCCCCAATGATTAAATTAAAAATTGAGAAAACACATTTAAAGTTAACATAATCTGAAAAAATAACACCCATCATACTTTAAGGACTCAGTATGTCTTATACCAATTGAAACATCGGCACACTATTGGTGGGAATGTAGACTTGTACAGCCATTGTGGAATACAATATGGAGTATCCTTTAAAAATTAAAGATGGAATTCCCTTTTGACCCAGCGATTCCATTTCTGAGACTATACCCCAAGAATCTCAAAATACTAATACAAAAAGTATATGCACCCCTATGTTTATAGCAGTGCTATTTACAATAGCCAAGATCTGTAAGCAGCCCTAGTGCCCATCAACAGATGAGTGGATAAAAGAGCTGTGGTACATTTATTTACTACACAGCAGTAAAAAACAAGAAAACCTGCATTCCGCAACAGCATGGATGAACCTGGAGAAAATCACGCTAAATGAATTAAGCGAATCAGCGAAAAGAAAAATACCACATGTTCCCACTTATGTGTCGAATCTGATGAACATAAAGTAGCAAACAAAATAGTAACAGAAGGTTGGCACATAGAACATCCTGGCAGCTGCTGAGAAGTGGGGACAGGATGAAAGTCGGTGAAGGGATTAGGCAAAGAGTATTTATGCACAGTGCAAGGACAGGGACAACAAGGTGGGGATTGCCTTGGGGAATATACTTCCTGAGGGGGAAGTATATTTCCCAAGGCAATATACTTCCTGAGGGAAGAAGGTAGGGTTGGATGAGGGAGGGGAAGGGGAGAAACGTGGGAACAACTGTAACAGAGTAAACAATAATAATTTTAAAAAGAAACAGTATAGAAAAATCTTAGAGTAGTACAAATATAAAGGAGTTGATTTTACTTCTATAACATAGTTTTAACCAGCCATTTCTAAAAGAAGAAAAAAACAAAGCAAAATTACCTTCATGGACTGTAATGCCACAATTGTCACACTGAATTATTTCATCAGCATCTTCACTGTTATCTCCAAGACAAACACAGCAAATCAGAATATGGTCCATTTTTTGAGAACTCCAGTTTTGACTCTTCTCAAGAATCAGCGAGTCCTAATATTAAAATATATCAGAAAAATCACATATTTAAGTTAAAAGGTAATTTTAACAAATAAAATTCTCACTTTAAATGATTTTATGCATTTTCGAAATTATGCTGAATTCTCTGTCCTTTCAGTAATTTCAGAGTAGGCTGCATTTGAGAAGTTTGCCTCTTCGTCAAGGACCCTATAAGAGCCCTGTAATTTTTCATTTCTCTGCAAGTCCCACATACCCTCTCCTCCAGGAAGTGACAAAGCAAACACGCATCCAACAACTCTACATCTGCCTTGCCATTGTGAATTATAGTCTAAACTTTTAAACTAGGGAAGAGGAAAAATTAATCCATAAATAATCATTAATCCTATGCATTGGTTTAAAAGGTATAAAACATCAGGCTCCTACTCTTTGGAAACTTATGATCCTACCTAGAGAAGACAAGACACACATATATTAAACAAGAATAAATCAATTCAAGATAACATATAAGCAACTATGTATGTGATGGCATAGTTACAGACTCTGTAATCCTCAAGTGTGTAAGGGGAATTCAGAAGTTCCAGGGTCATCCACCTACTGGATGACAGATACATGAGTGCCTACCTAGGTGAATGTGTATTCGGGTACAGAAAACCATCTAAAAAAGGACCCAGGGTGACTAGTTGGTAGAAGTCAGAGCACTCTACTGGGTTTATATCATGAAATATCTAGTGTAAACTGGTAATAAAGATACCAAGCTAATTGTAATATAGGAGAAAGATGTAAAGAATAAAAAGATAAAATTTCAAGAAAGGGAAGAGTTTGCTTCTTTTAATTTAAACCTTCTGCATTGTGGATTTAAACTTTAAAGGATAAGTTAACAAAATGATGATTCTTGTCATATTTAACAGATTGGTCTTCATATTACATATAAAAGATGGCACTTGAGTCTATCTATGTTCATTTAAGAACCTAACCATATTCAGAAATAAAGTAATAAATTAGTTCCATATTATACATTCACTAAAATATTATTTTGTATTTTTATATTTTTATATTCTTTTAAACTAACCAAATTACAAGGTAATAATAGCAATTTATGACATTTGAATGACACCTGAATGTCACAATGACACTTTCAATAGATCGCTGTTTAATACATTTAAACATTCAGTTGATCTGTAAAATAAATCAGAAATGAATGCAAAAATTAACAAGGAGGTATTACATTTCTCTTGAGAACTCTAGTACTTTAAATTGTATACTTTGCTTCCTTTTATTATAAAAGCAAAGTAGTTAATACATGGCAAACAAATAAAGGTAAAAACTTCCTAAAAAGAAAACATATGTTCTACAATACTTTGGTACAGTGAGAAAAAAAAAAAAAAATCTGCCCAGATTTTCATCTCATTAGTAGTGTTTCAATGTAACAGCATTTAGCTTAATAGTCAAAAGTACTCTGGTTTCATTTTCATCTCTCATTTAGTGGCTATTGAACCTTGAAGCTGCAGTTTTCTCATCTGTAAAATGAGATGATAAAAATAATACCTATCTCTTGGGGTGGTTGTGAGAATTAATAACATAATATATGTAAAAATGCTCCTGAGCACTGGCTGCTGTGGCTCAGTGGATTGAGCAGTGGCCTGCTCACTGAAAGGTCACCGGTTCAATTCCTATTCAAGGCACATGCCTGGGCTGCAGGCCAGGTCCCCAGTTCAGGGCACACGAGAGGCAACCAACCAATTAATGTGTCTCTCACATGTTGCTGTTTCTCCCTCTCCCTACCCCTCTCTGAAAGTAAATAAACAAAATCTTTTAAAAAAGTGTTCCCGAGGCACACTAGGTATTCAATAAATATTCGTTCCCATTCCTCTGTACTTCATGTAGGGGTGTCAATAGAGAAATATGAACTGACCATTTATTACACCAGGAATCTTCCTTGGAACCCCAAAATAAAAGTTGTGAGCCTCAATGAACATAGTTACTGTAACTTTTTCACAGACTAGGAAAAGACCTAACAACCAGAGTTTGATGTCCAAAAGGTATGATACTCATGTTTACGGTCTTTGACAGTTATTTCTCTGGTGGAATTACAACAAATCAGCCCTTCAAAAAAAGGTTTATCCATGTGGAAACACGTACATTTCTAAGGATCAGAAAAATTGACATCAACTGGTAGCTCTAATTTCATTACTTACCAATTTTTATATTTTGCTCAAAAAAATTCAAAAGAAAACAGTCTAAGTAGCTAAATTATACCTGCACCAACTTCTATACATATTATCGTTTAGAGGCAGAGAAAACAAATTTAACAGGTGTCTCTGGCCCTCTGCTCCCCGTCACTAGAAACTCTTACTAGAAATGTAATACTGCCCGATACAATGGCTGATGGGCTATGCTTCAGTGGGAAGACCTAAATAACACATTCTCTTAAAAAATTATGCTCCAAGTGTCTTCAATAGATCAAACATGGGTTTAAGCATTTTTATAGTCAGAGTATAAAAGCCAATTTAGTATCAATTTTTATTAGCATATTTCTAAAGATGTATATTATATTCTAAGTTTCTGGAGAAAATAGTTAAGATAACATTTTCACTACAATATATCAGTTGAAAATAGTACTTTTACATAAAAATAGAAATTGGGAAAGTCGGTTTCAAATGGCTCAAGTTTACCGACTAGAATATAACTTTTTAAATGTTATGGAATGACTGAAAGGAATCTACTGGTGATGGTAAGAACAAATGAGATACTAAAGTAAATTAATTAATAATCTCATTTTTCTCTGGGGACTTAAAATATATACCAAAAATTATATTATTGGCCAACAGTTTCATGTCTGAAAGCTCTAAAATATGTTTAGTGCTCATTTATGTGTGTATGCTACATAGATGATTATAAATAATGTATACACAGGGTAAATTCTAAGTTAAGTGTGTTTTTAATAGAAGGAAATTCCAGCACACTTCATGTAAAACCAGAATTAAAGAAATCTATTGACCTGCAGAAGAGAAAAAAAATTAGTATAGCAAGAAGTTTGACCCATAGTTCTTCCTCTGTGTTTTTAGAGAAGGTTAAATTCTTAAGAATCTCAAGTAATTTTTGTACAGTGTTATAAATTGATTTTTTTGGACTTAGAGAAATTTGTTTTATTTTGAAATATGTAAAAAGGCAACTGATTAGTAAGAGCCCTGAACACAGTGGCTATTTATAAATTTCAGCCAAATTAGTACATTTTAATTAGCAAATCAGATGACAACAGTCATTTCTTCACAAGGCAAGACACTGATATCCATTTAATATAACTGAGTTTTTATTTTTAAAAAAACTTCCATCTGAAAATTTCTATTGTAATGACTTTTTGTCATATATTAATTCAAAGCTCTAGTTTTAAAGTCCTGAAAAATGAGAACCAGTCTCTGAAAAGACTATACAGCCCTCCCCAAAAAATCTACTTCAGGAAACTAAAACATAAGAAAACCTTAGTGAATCTTAACGCTTCAAATAAAAGTTTGAAAAGACACATAACCATACTCTTAGGGGATTGTTCATAATGCACCAAATTCAAAAATTCCATAATACCATTGACAAAGCCATGTGTCCATATGCAAAAAATGCCCAATTCTAGAACAGTGGTTCTCAAGATATGGTCTGAGAACTCTCCTTTAGGGAAGTCTACAACTTAAAGGCTATTTTCATAATACTAAGGTTATTTGCCTTTTTCACTCTCTATCATGGGTATAAGATGGCATTATTGATCTGACAACTTATGTTCCTCTGTATATCTAATTTTTTGAAGTTTCAGAGTTTTAATTTGAAATGATAAATATTGATATATAGCCTACATAAATAACTGGGAACTCTCAAAAATTTCTTTAAACCTCACTTGAAGATATGTTTATTGATTTTGAGAAAGAGATTAAGAGAGAGAAACAGGAACATGGATTGACTGCCTCCAATACATGCCCTAAATGGGGATTAAACCTGCAACCCAGGTATGTGCCATAAACAGGAACAGAACCTGCAACCTTTTTGGTGCATGGGATGATGCTCCAACCAACTGAGCCACCTAGCCAGGACTGGATCCTTAATAATTTTTAAAAGTATAAGATGTCCTGAGACCAAAATGTTTGAGGACCCCTGTTTTAGAGTATTTTTAAGGTCTACAGCATAGATAGGTATGTTAAGGACATTAAGAGCCAATAGTTATAAAAGGCCCCTTCTCAAAAAAAATCAAGTTCTCCTAAGAAACTTCAAAATTATGAAAGTTCCTGGGCATCATTTACGTGACATCTAACATTCTTTCCCTTCAAAGTACCTGACATAGCAGCCAAGAAAAAAAAAACATACCTGCTTATAAACTAAATATAATTCTATTATGTACTGCTAAAGCCACATTTTACCTATCTCTGCTACAAAATAGTATTTGAAAACTTAGAGGAAAAGCAGAGAAATATAATACTTCAAATATAATCAAATATATACAGATTGACTAATGGACCCTTGGCAAGGTATAACTACCTAAAATAGGAAGATACAACCATTAGCTCTAGGGCAACAAGGGTTACTTTTAGTTCTCTTTTTACAAAGCTAAGATCATATGAACAGGAAATGTGAAAACATAAGACAACAATCTCAACTGATTCATTTTTTAATTTAATGTCTCTTTTGTCAAATTGATTAGTTTTTATTAAAATTTAATATCTGAGTAACATTTAAATAGAACTACAATAAATATTGAAGAATTTCAATAATAGTCTTGGAGGGGAAAACTGATCAGGCTTTCAGGTATAATGTTATTCAGGGAAAATTAACTTCCTATAAGCTCTTCAACATTTCTCCATTGGGAAGAGCAAAAGAAAAATTAACATAAAATAACAGAAGAGGAATTAATTTAGCTAATTAAGAAGAAAAGGCACTTTTCCAAGAAATGCTCTGGAATCTCAATCATTTGGGACTGTTAATCTAAATATATCAAACTCCATTATTTACTAAAGTCTCTTCTGATAGGAAAAACTAAACAGCACATGTGGCCTTTAAATGCATCATAAAAATAGTCTACAACGTCTTTAGCAATACATTATGTATTACAGATTATGAACACATGGATAATGTGCAGATTTTATGCGGCAAATTTCTAAACATATGCAGGTGTTCCCCATACCTTAGCATAAATCTAATCCATACTGGCCCTACCATTAGCCAGCCTACCCTGTGAATGTCAGACTAATAAAAATGAAGTAAGGAAGTGATGCTGCCAAAGGTAAAATTATTCAGTAAATACAGATGTAATACTAAGTGCTATAAAATGAACTAGATACATGCCTAAAAATCAAATATGAACAACTGGACTTTCCATAGTTCTATTTCCATAAATTGGCATTGAGAATATGGAACTGCCTGTGCTATATCATTATAAATACTACATTATTTTCCAAATGACATTTTCCTTTACCTAAAGATAAGAATTAGGAGAGCAATAGAGGTAAGCAACACTCTTCATGTGAAAGTGGGCCAACTAGAAGTTAAAAAAATGTTTATAATCTAAAATATAAACTGTTGTTTCATCTCTACTAACATATAACCCCTCAGACTGCTGTATATTATTTAAGAAAATCATCAAATTTTTAAATAAAACTTAGTTAAGATGATCACCACTATATAAAATTTGTAAGCAGAAGAAATGTAAAAAAACAAATAAAGCATAAAAGGAAAATTTTTCTACCAGTTTAACCTATTGCAATGGTATGAAGAAAAAACAAAAATAAGTGCTTGTTAAAGTGAAAAAGTGAATTTTCATGACTGTAAACATGCTAACAAAATGACACTTAATTATTCATGACCATAAACATGCTAACAAAATGACAGACTTAATTATTCTAGTTCTACATGTGATGCAACAGATATATCTACATGTGAGAAGACAACTCAATCTTTCTTTTGAAGAACAAATACATAAACACACAGACAAAGAGACACAGATGTGTTTGGCTGAAGAGTCTTGAATGTTGCATCTCGGGCCCAATGGATAAACCTAACTTTCAGTAGCAGAACTTCAAGTGGAAGAACTGAGTCATTACTGTAGTTTTATGATAGAAATGTTTGTTTTGTGATAGAAATGTTTGTTTTCATTTCTTTGTGGAAAGAACTTATTTACTAAATACATGTAAACATATAGTTGCACTTACTCCAGTGCATCTAAAGCAAAGATTTGGTGACTATTCAGATGATGGTGCTATAATTGGTGAAGTAATTAACCTTGAAAATGAGTCTCTAAAAGTCTGAGACAATCGTTAAGCTGTTTGTTGCCCTGCTCTAAAGTATTCTAAAAGTCTCACCTTTTATGTGGATATGACTATAACTAAGTTGAAAGAGAAGAGCCCTTTCTCATAATCCAGTTAGCACCATTCAGCAGTCCTATGAACAATGGAGTGAGAGAACAGAATGGGGAAAGAAAACTCCTACCATTTTCTAAGTCTACGGATATAAAAATATTCCTCTAAATATATAGACTGTGAGCTCCTTGAGAACGATGACTGTGAACTCCTTGAGAACGGTGACAAACAGTAGGTACTCAATAAAGGTTGGTTGGTCAAATGAATAAGTGCTACTTAGGGTGCTCATTCACTCCCACAATGTCTACAGATAGGGTTTCAAGGAAGCCACTCAATATAATTAGTAGAATGGTTTAGAGAATTCCCTTTTCCCCAGACAGACAGATATCATAAAAATTGGGTTGATCTACCTCATTACTCTTGCTTTGAGATAATGTCAGGCTATCATTGGTCAGTTCCTCATCATCAGCACTGTTTCTGCTAAGAACTTTACTCTTCTTTTTCTTGCAACCCCCTTCACTGGCAGGGCTGCTATGATCTTCATCATTGCCTTCATCATTCTCATCCTCATCACTCCCACTTCCCTCATCTTCATCATCCTCATTGTCTCCATCACTTCCTTCTTTGTGAGACGCAGATCTCCCCTTTCTCTTTACTACAGTAGGTCGCCAGTCATTGTCATCTTCACTGTCATAGTCATCCATGTCATTCAGTTCTTCCATGGATACAAAATCCAAAAGGGGTCGATTTCGACGAAGGTTCCACTTTTTCGGCTCACTGACTTGTTCCTCTGCAGCTGTTGTTGTAGTGGGGACTGAAGGAGATGTGTTAACAGCAGGAGGACTCGTGGCTGGTGAGGGGGCAGCAGCAGAAGCAGCCACATTATCAGATACTGTTGCTTTTTCTTTCTCCTTCTCTCTCTCCTTCTCTTTCTCTTTCTCTTTTTCTTTTTCCTTCTCTTTTTCCTTTTCTTTTTCCTTTTTCTTTCTAGGTCTTTCTCCATTTTCTTCTTCTTCCTTCTTTTCCATTTTAACCAACCGGTTTTCTGATGACAGTATTTCTTCCTCTGCAGAATTTTTAAGTTGTTCTTCTTTTACTTTGATGTCTTCATTCAGTTCTTCCTCTAAAACATTTTCTTCAGAATCACTACAGGAACCTTCTCCACTGTCCTTTGAGGGGTCTTCACTTCCATTACCACTCCCTTCAGAATCTGTTGAAAATATGAGAAAAAAAAACCACACATATGTATATACATACACACACACACACACAACGTTGACACAAATGAAACCACCAAAATCTGTGAGTAACTTGCAAAACAATATAAACAAATTTAAGTCAAAGGATGGTAGACATTACTAACCTGATTAAATAATAAATCGATGAAGTTGGTGTAATGGTTTTAGTTCAATATAGTACTAATGAAGATGAATATATGTAACTCTAAATTAAAATATGCTTTAAAAAGAGGAGCACTGCTTTGTCATAATACATGCTATATATGGTACCCTAGAAGTTTTTTTTAAGTAAAAATCATTCTTTTTAAATTGGGCACTTGATTTGGATTTGAATTCAATAACAGAATACACACCAAATTTTTCTTCCCTTGTATCTTCCTTTCATAAACTTTATGGACTTAAAAGCACTGAGGCACAATCAGAACAAGAAAATCCTGGCCCAGAAAGCTTTATCATTTCATGCTTTACCCACAAAAATTAAACATAGATATTTATGTTGGTCACCTTGTATCATATCCCTAATACAGCAATCAATTTTAGAAGCACCAAAGACACAGATGAGAAGAGATAATAGCAATAGCACAGAAAATGGAAGTTGTAAGAGAAATTATCAATTTTCCTGTTTGTTAAGATACTTATTAGGATATCAATAAAAGGGTCACCTCAACATTCAAAAATTCTAGGCAGTAACTGCTATATCCCCTAGATTGAAAGAAATTAATGATTTTTTTAAAAACGAGCCATCTTGGAAATGAGCATCCACAATAATCACTGAGAAGATAGGCTAAGGACATTACAGAGTTCACATAGGACTATAAGCCTTCTAGCAAGTTCCTTCCGCTCTTGCCTAGCACAGCCCAGGCTCTCTTAATCCAGTCCTACTCAGTAACCTAATCATCTTTATGCCTAATCAAATAAATAAAAGTCTAAAACTCTGGGGAGAGGGACAAGAAGGAGGAGAAAAAAAGGAGGAAGTGGGAAACAAACCAGTCATAGTCAGGTCATGGTCAACACCAATAGTAAAATCTGTAGGGTGATGAATATTTTGCAAGCATAACCAAGAAAAGGGTTATAATAAATGATTAAAAAAAGTCTATGATTCCACACCATTTTACTTTCTGTTAACCAGCCTTAGCCGGTATTATTAATTGGGCATTAAATATAAAAGAATGTTGTCTACAATTAGACCTGGTATTTAAATAGCTCAGAAATCCTTTACAAATGGCTGATTTAAAAATATCCTGCTAGTTTAGGCACATTTTTTAAAAAAAGACTAACATTTGGCAGATGTCGACTGATCTTATAAAATCATTGTCCATCTGTACATTATCATGCAGGTATCCATAGCTTATTCAGGACTGCTGTGAAAAAACACTCTCATCCTAAACAATCTTGCATAAATTTCTGCAGTAAAATGTACAAATATTTATAAGTATGACCAATAAACATTACAAATAAACTCCTATCAGCACCAGTCAGGTTTTATCATCAAGTAACCTTGTGCCAAACTTAGAACATATCTGGATTTGTTAGCTCCTTGGATTTCAGAAAGTGTATGGGTCCAATATCACTCACATAAAAGGTGACTTCTTTCAGTCTAATAGCCCTACAAATCATTAAGAAAATTTCGATTTTTTTAATACCACTCACAACAATTAAACCTAACCTACCAAGAAAAACTACTTCTGGTAAAAAAAAAATAATTTCTAGATATTTTTAGGTCAAAGTCTATTAAACAATAAGTACAGTTGACTACACACTTCTAAGGCAAAGAAGAATCTTTGCACACAGTGACTAAAGAAAGGAAGAACACCTTGCAAACAATGTCATAATTAAGAGAGCTGGGAGATGGAGAAATGGTACTTTTCTTCTGGACTCAGCTTCTAGAATCCTTTTTAGAATTACCTAAGAAGTACTCCTAATTATTTTACCAATAAAAACATAACGATACAGAAGTAAGATTAACTGTAGCACAAATGTGGGTACCAGATCAAAACTGAGAGGAATCCAACTGCACTGTTAGTAAATTTTACAAACATCAAGAATTTTTAAATTTTGTTTTGGTAGTTATTGCCAATACAAATCAGTTAATTAGTTTTCAAAGTAGAAGGAAATTTAATTGTTTTTATTTTATAATCATGCCTGAATAGACAGCAAATCTTAAAAGATTTAAGTGCTTAACATTGTTAACATATCATTAGAAAACTGTGAGATTCTTCCACAAATCCTAATCCTCTAGCTTATCCAACACTTCCTTCCCCAAATATAACATACTAGCCATACTCCTCACAGGCATCAGGAATATGTCAAATTTTATTTTCCTTTGATCTCTGAAAAATAGCTTCATCTAATTAGTCATCACTTCTTTTTGGTACATATGCACTTGAGGGATGGAGATAAAAATATTTAGCTTAAGCACAGCTCAGTAATAATGGCCGTGAGAAAATAGGAATCCTCGGTTATCTATATTTTTGTAGGCTGCGAAGAAAAATTTCCTATCACTAAGAATGCAAACATAGACTCTGCCATATTCCAAATCTATCACTCTTATACCCTTAAAAGAAAAAAAACAACAGACTAGAGAAATAATTTAAATACTTCAAATATAGCTAATCTTAGGCATGAGGACCAGTGAATTCTAAGTCTGTATGAAAAATTTTTATACTAGAAAAAAATATTTAAAATTGAATCCCTTACTTTCTATTCAGTTAAACAATAGGTAACCTTTCTCACACACACACTATATCAAAATCTCTCCAATCAATAGCTATTTCAACTTATAGAAAGTTAAAGAGTTTTTTTTAGTTACAGAATTAAAAAACCAACCTTCAAGAATCCCTTCACAATATTCAATGCTTAAGTTCTCTCCATGATAAATACCAAACAATAAAACCAAAAACAAAACAAAATAAAAAAAATAAAACAGTTTCATTTAAACCAGAGTTTTATGTTAGCTTTGCAGTATAAAGAATCACCTCAGTTCATCAAATCTGATTATTCAATTATTCTGGTCATTGCTGTAGCCCAACAGTGATTAGTATTATAACTATACACAATAGACAATAGACAGATCACCATGCTATTGGCTCTTCAGTTAGCATCCTGTGACCATTTTGACAAACCCTGTATTGCATGGGTGCCAAACTCATTTTCACGGGGGGCCACATCAGCCTTGCAGTTGCCCTCAAAGGGCCAAATGTAATTTTAGGACTGTATACATGTAACTACTCCTTAACAGTAAAGAGAGAGCTCGGTGCTGTCGCAGGGTAGAAACAAAGTGGAGGGCCGGATTCGGCCCACGGGCCTTCTGTTTGCCACCTGTGCTGTATAGCTCTATTTTAAAAGCCAATCAGTCAACACAACTCACCCTCTAGTTCCAACTTGGACAATTTTGTGCCACAGTGGACATGTGGCAGTGTCTAGAGACAATGGTTGCCATGAAAGGACAAGGGTTGGAGGGTGCTGGGTAGGAAAGAAGCTACTGACATTTAGTAAGGAGAAAACAGGGATAGTAAAGAACATCCTACAATACAGGAGAAGTCTCCACAACAAAGAATTATCCAACAAGAAATGTCAGTAGTGCTGAGATTAAGAAACCATGGTCTAGCAAACAAGGCCTCAATGTAACCTCATTCTAATTCCCCAGGCTCATCTCTTCCATTCTTTTGTTTAGTCATGATCTAAGACTAATAAACAACATTTTCCAGCCTCTACACTTTTAACAATGTTTCCCCACCAAGATTTCATTTTCTACTTTAACTCCTATGTCCTCAATGAAATCTCCTAAAATCAATCCGATCTAAAGTAGTCCCGTATCCTTTGAAAGACCGTGAACTCTGTAAGTGATCAATTATGGTTTATATCATCTATCCATTATTTCACCTAATTATTCTAATATTATCACTATTTCTCTGTGCATTCACCAGAACATCCAGAAGTGCCTTTAAGCAAAACTAGAGTGTCAATAAACATATCTCAGTCCACTTAAAGTCAGGTTAAGCACAAATAATACCAAAGCAAAGTCTCAGCCTAAATCTTCCAGTTAAATTATTTTCTGACACTTTCACCTAATTAACCTAACTATGACTAAAGACATAAAGTTAACCATCTAACTTTGGCCAGAGGGTTGGGGAATAACAGCACTGCTATTTTGTCTTGTTTAATAAAAGTAATATATGTACTTTTCTTCAAAAAGATTCCATTTATACAGCAGATTACTAAATATAATCTATCCTAGACCTAATCCTAGGTCCAAGTCTCAAATATAACCACTTTAACTAGGCCAAACCATGAAATTGCCAATATTGGATAGTTTTATATCTTAAAAAACTGGTAATTTCATATGGTTTCATCTAACATTCCCACACATGGTTTTTCTGATGGTTATCACCATAAACCTAATATACTTCTATCCCATTTTAGCACTTATTAATTTTTAAGTTTATTTATTGACTCTTCTTAGTCAAAAGTGAGAAATTTAGCTCTACCTTCACATTACAGATAAAAGATAATCTATTTTCAGTTCATAATTTTGTAATTGCAGAGGCTTATAATTATTTTTTAATGTTTACATATTGATTTTAGAAAGAGAGGAAAGGGGAGACAGACAGAGACAGAGACAGAGAAACATCGATTTGCTGTTCCACTTATTTATGCATGTATTGGTCAACTCTTGTATGTGCCATGACCAGGGATCAAACCTGCACCCTTGGCATATGGGGATGATGCTCCAACCAACTGAACTACCTGGCCAGGACAAGACTTATGATTATTAACCTGCCAATTTTTTGGCAGATAATTTTTGAGCAATATTCATCCTTTTCAATTTTACCATCTGAGGAATACATGAATAAAATTACGTTTACCTACAAGGGTCTTAAATTAACCTTTGTCTATAGAATGGTCTATATTTATTCTTAAAACCCAACAGAAATATGAAGTTTCATGTCAGAATTTCAGATTTTGAAATAAAGATCAGAAGAAACTGATGCACAGAATTCAGATAAAAATTGAAGCCAATCAAGCTAAGCACTTTAACATTAAGTTCTAAGGAAGTCAGTAATTCATTAATTTCTAGAAAGAAGCTATGATCAACAAATTGTTACCTACTATATTTCCACTTTCAATTTAATCTCCTATTCGTAGGTAGGCTTGGGATTCCACAACGCTAACATGTTTGAAAACCAGTGATGAATCTAATGTCTTATTTCATGTAAGAGTCCACTATCTCAGGCAGAGAAAAGATTCAAACAGGAATAATCACTGGTTACCTAGAATAAGCCGACATCTCAGCTATGTGAGACACCAATGCACCTTAACCAAGAGCAGAAAATAACATTCCATTTCTACTGACTATGAACTATTTTAAAGAAAATCATTTTCTACTGAATTTTCATTTACAATAACATCAAGAACTACACAGATAAATTTTGACTTGGGGTCACAAATCCAATAACCCCAGAGGCCAGGAAAGTAAATTACAAGTGCAGCCAACTAGGTATTATGACAAGACGGAACAGAAAGTATATAGATTTTTAGTACCTTTAGATTTTCTTAAATAAAATTAACAGCTAACAAAACTCATCCTACCACTTACCACAAATAATAGATAATTCCCATGAACTCTGACTGAGATTTAACAAAGTCAGGAATCTCTATTTAGCTTGATACCATAAATTATTTTGAGAAAGTAGTTTGTACCATTAAATTGTTTTAACTCTTCTAAAAGTGATACCTGTGAATGACTCCATCTCAATAAGCAAAAAGAAAAAAAAATCTACAAGATCAGAATTTATTGCCACAAAACTAATTACGCAATACCTAAAGAAATTAAGTTTTGGAGTTTTTCACAGATAGGTATTCAAGTAAGTCATAATTTCTGAGACTCAGCTATTTTTGTCACACTTTACAATCTGGATCATAATAAACCAAAACAACATAAAGAATATTCTTCTCTGCCAAGGTTTCACCAAGAGAACTAAAGTATGTTTGGATTTTACACCTTGCCCTTCCCATTCTTTCTCTTCTTTGGAAGTACCAAGCGTCAGTGAATCAACTAAATGGAAGATAAAAAGAGCAGCAAAGGTTAAAAAAAGCAATCAAGATAAACATTTTGATTACTGGGAGTGACCTCAATTAGTCATCACAACACCCAAGTAGTTTCAGTTTGAGATTATATCCTATCTCTTTTTAGGATCAAAGTAGAGAAAAGGTGGTAAATTTTGGAATCAAAAGATATGGATTAGATCTATTAGGGCTTGAGTGACCTCATGCAAGTTCTTTAAACTCAATTCATCTGTCATATGTAAAATAACATCTCCTTCACTAAATTACATTAAAAATTAAATGAGATTACAGAAACAGAAGTTCTCAGTAAACCACAGCAAATTCTGATTGCTGGTGCTCTTAAATGTAGTAATAAAAACACAACCTAACTTCATCCCTTCCTATCATCCCTAGCAGGGAAAAGAAAGAGAAAGGAAGGCAGGCCAGCAAGGAGAGAGATATGACTAAATATAGAAAATTCTATGGAAGAGTATTTTTAAACTGTTAAAGGGATGAAACTGGAAGGGCTTTCATTTTTCACTTTATTTAAATTCCCACTCAAAAGGGGCAGAATTATAAGTAATTTGTATTGTTCATGTGCACCTTGGTATTTTTTATATAAAACATCTTAACATAATTTGGGTCCATTTCTCAGATTCCTGCAATTAAAACTTAAGATGTATATCTCTATACATGAGTTACAGTGAACAGAAGATACAAAGTACACCATACTTTTCTGTATTTTCCAATTTTGTACGATGTGATATATGACCTTTTAAAAAAATCCATTGTTTTTGAAAATCACAAAATATGGAGCAAGCATGCATGCTTTACATCTCGGAGATTTTTGAAAGGCCCAATCCACAAGGTCTAGCAGCTACTAGGAAGCACCACTTTTTTCCTTTGGTCAGTTGTATTCTGGTAAGGGAGCTAATACACAAAATGTAAAACTCCCCTTGAGAGTGCCAAGTGATCTAGAAAGAGAAGAACCCTGCTCACGAGCAGTTCATGACTCACATTACTCTCAGGACATTACTCTACCCAGTGATATCTGTCAATTTCCCCTCCATCCATGAAATAAGCATAAATATATTTTCAAGCAAAGAATAGAGAAAATGTTTTTGCATCTTTGGAATAAGTCCTCTGCCAGCTCATTATCTGAGTATCAACAGAAACAGAGGTAACGACCGTACCTAGTGATAGGATCTTAGGGAAAAGTGGGAAATCGAATGGACAAAATAAGTGACATTTATGTGCTTTAAACTTTAAGTTGGCATTTTAATCAAAACCAATTCTTAAAAAAAGTCTAAAAATAAACCCAACTCCAGAAATCTGAGAAAAGGCAAAGAGAAACATTTACCTGAGGCATCTCCAACTTTAAAATCACTGTCATCTGAACTATCATAATCGAGAGCTTCTAGCAGAGAAGCTGCCAAAGGCTTCACCTGCCTCCTCTTGGAGCTGCGATCCACTGTTGGAGGGAAAAAAATACAGCGTCATTCAAAATCACACCAAGCACAAGAGAGGGCTGTGGTGCTTAAGGAAGGTACTAAAAGACCTCGTGCAGAGAAGCTTTATCTAATTCACTTCTAAGCAAAAGGTGTTGGGGGAGGTTAGGGTGGGAACGCGGGCTCGCGAGGGCCGGGCCGCAAGGTGGGCAGCTCCAGCCTCTAGGTGATGCGAAGGCGAACCCAGGGTGGCTGAAATCGAAGCTGACCCTCTTGCACACCTTGTGCTGTTTCGGTGACTTGCTCGTAATCCCTCATTTAAACACCGTGACAATCAACAGAAAGAAAACGCAAAGCCCAAAGAATAAAAGAAGTCGCGATCATTCCCGCGGACTGTGAAGGGTAAGAGTCCACGGAGCGACCCAACCCCCGCCCTGGTGTCCCACCGGCCCTGACTTCTTGAAGAGCTGAAACGGTTCTTTCTCCCCGCGCCTCCGACACTTACTAAGGAATCCGTGAGGTGGTCGTTTGGAGGAGAACTAGAGAGAGGCTGCGAGAGCCCAGGCAGCGCAGAGGTCGGGGACTGAGACCGCGGAAACAGATCGGAAAGATGCTACTTAAAATCGGCGGTGCCGCCGAGCGGATCGGGGCATCCCAGGTGCACCCCTGCAGTCCCCGCCCGCACCCCACCCCCCGGCCCGCCCCCCAGTCTTCTCCGAGCTGGCCCGGCCTCTCGCGCCCCCTTCCCACGGAGCTCCCCGGGCACCGGCGCCCTCCGCTCCAGGCAGCAGCGTGGCCAACCCGGCAGGCCTGGAGAGTTAATATCCCGGGGAAAAAAAGAAAAGAAAGAAAAACTTTATTAGCCTGCACCAAAAGCAACAGGAAAAAAAAAAAGAATTTGCACAGTCCCAGGCCGATTCCTGAGACAATAGGGAAAGCAGCGACCCGGATACAGCTCGGAGGGAAGGAAGTGAAAACACGAGGCAGAGCAGGGCCTTAAGTGCAGCAGCAGCCGAGAGCGCCTGCGCCGGGCCTCGCAGCCGCTCTCCCGGAGAGGAAACGGAGAGAGCCGAAAGGGAACCGACAGCGAGCCGAGACGGAGCAGAGACCAAGCCGATCGCAGTCGACTAGTACCGGAAGGAACCGAGAACCTTCCCAGACCCTGCGTGGCTCCGCCCACAAATCCCTGAGGCTCTACCTTCGGTTCAAATCTCGGGGGAGGGGCGGAGCCCGGTTTGGTTTCTGGTTTTAAGTATTCACTCAGAATACATTTTCCATAAAAGGACATTTGCTAACTTAAGTCACTGTCAAAAAAAAACATAAGTAATACGACCTCTTCTGCTGCTCCTTCCATAAATTGCATCCTTTAAAATATCTAGGTACCTGGGAAATTTTTAAATTCTGGAAGTGGGTAATGTAAGAGTAGCATTAGACCTTGTTTGATGACTGCTTTGATAAGTACAACTCTAACAGGGAAAATCATTCATTTAATTATATTAACTATTGTTTCAATAATTGTAGTGTGGAGAGACATTTCCACATAAAATATACATAGTATTTTTATATACTATGAGAATGATAATACACCTAGCGGAAAATATTCCATTTTACAAATATGTTGTGCATTAACAGAAGGTGGGTGTCCACAGGAATGTGAAATAGTGCCTTGCATCCACTTAGACAATTTATTAAAATGAGTTTTTAAACTCACAACAGGACAGTATGTACAACCACACATGGCAGTCTTCTGTCAACAGATGGCCGGATGGTCGTTGGAGCTAATTCAATACCAGTAGGAATCTCCAGTTTGGGGTACAGTGAAGAATGAAACTTTATTCAGTGCATACAGCTCAATCGAGATATAGTGTGGCAGTGGAACAACTCAACAGTGTACAGCTCAATAATGAAGCAGCATAGCATGGCTGGGAGGCAACACCTGGGACCAGACCCCTCTCTGCTCCCAGTCTGCTCCCCTCTGCTCCAGTGAGACATCTTTGGTGTTTCATCTTGAGCCAGGGAAATAGTCTTCAGCCTTTCCTGGAAATAGAAAGTGCACTTCTGGAGCCAGAGGGCAGCTGACTTCTATAGACAGAAGTCCTTCCCCTGAGGCTTTTGCAAGTGAGGACTCCAAATCTCCCCAGTTTAATTAATTGGTCCAAAAATCACTCTCCTGATTTGTCAAAATAGAGCTTCTCTGATTGCTCAGTGAAGATTCTGATGGTGATATAGCTGTGCAGCTCTGATAGGATGGGGAAAACTTCAGTCCCAGTGATTGAAATACTATTTCATGAACTCCTATATAAGGTCTGGCTTATGTGGCAGGAACACAGTACAGGGAGGCAATTCAGTGCAGGCTTCTCCCTGAAGTGTGGTTTGCGTGAGCCCACTATGTAGAAATGGATGCTTGACTCTGCCTTCACATTTGAGTCCAGTTAGCCACCCAGAGGCCTTTTCTGTGGGTATCTTTTTTCTTAAGGACTCACACCTTCAACAGTTACAAACATGCTCATTCACATTCAAGTTAGCTACTTTTAAAAGAAACATTAAAATGTTAGAATATATGCAGTATTAATATTTTTTAAATGTTTATATATCAAGGATAGAGAAAGATTTGCATCAAGCTGATTCAATTTGTTTCTTTATTCCACAAGTATGCATTTATAATAGGCAATGTTCATAACATGAGAAAATACATTGCTATGAAAGACTTTAAATATGTAGGAATCAAATCGTATAATGCAGTAATAGAACTTACGCTTTAAAAAAACATGTTCAATGCTTTTATAAATGAATTAAATTATATAACATTAAATTTGAAAAATATTGGGTTGGACAAAAAGTTCATGTGTTTTTTTTCTGTAAAATAAAAGACACAGTTTTCATTTCCACCAATAACTTTTTGAATCGGATACTTTGAGTATGTTGGCTATCTTCTACATAGTTAAATTGTTCCCAATTAATATCTCGATTTGATCACTATCAACTTCAATTGGTCTACCTGACCATGGAGCATCATCCAGACAGAAATCTCTAGCGTGAAACTTACCAAAACCACTTTGACACATTCAATCAGTCACAGCACCTCCTCTATACACTGTACAAATCTTTTTTTTTTTTGCATTTCAGTTGCATTTTTACCCTTTTTGAAATAGTAAAATATAATATGCCCAAAATGTTGCCTATTTTCTTCCATCTTCAATATTAAAATGACTACACAAAAATTCACCAATTTTGTTAAGCTTTTTTAATGTGCACTGATTTGACAGTTGTCATAATACAATGTAATAAAATTGTTCTGAATTAAGTTAAAGAAAACTAAGCCTTACTAGAGCCATCTTACAGAAAAAAACAAATGAACTTTTTGGCCAACCCAATTGTATATATATATATATATATATGCTGTACAGTTTGTGGGATGATTACACAGAGGTTGGACTTTCTGCAAGACAGTTGTTGTCTTTTCCTTTTCCAGAGTTTAGGATGTATTTGGGGATACAGACAAGTCAATAAACAATTGCCGTATATTGTAGAAACGGCTACCAGAGAGAAAATACACATGAATAGAAGAGAGAAGAAACCCAAGGAGAGCTTCCTGAAGAAACTTGTATTTAGATCAAGACATAAAGTGTATGAACTGGCCTGGAGAAGGGTGTTCGGAACTGCCCTGCCTGGGTTCAGAAGCTGTAAACCCCCCATGGCTAAGGCTGAGTGAGTGACCTTCGGACCATAAGCCACTAAGGAGACAAAGCTTATCTCCCTGGCAGGGGTGCCGCCTCTGCCTCTTTTACTTCACCCTGCTTGGCACACAATGCTTGATTGGTTAGCCAATGACGAGTAAGATTCCTCAAGGGAGGGATGACCAAAAACAAGCACAATCACGGGGGCCCCCAGGGAAGGACTTGGGGGGCTACAGAAAAGGGGTGATGGACCCTCAGCCCTTGGCTTTAACATAGCCTGAGTCCTCATTCTGTCTGTGAGAAGTCTCCTAATCTCCTGGCTGCCTTACTTCCCCTGCTTGACTTAAACCTGAAACAATGCTGGTGGTGGGTGCAGCCCTGTGCTGGAAAGGGCGGGTTGCCCCAGTAATCAGTCCTAAGAAAGAATATGTAAAATCCTGTGAAACCTGCTTTGTTTAGAATGCCCTCAATTAAATGGTAAGGGTCCAAGCAGGAAATGAGTTTGTTCCCCAAAGTTTTATGGCCATTTGACTATCTGACCCTGACTCAAAATAGGCCCTCAGAGTTCTTTGTATGTTATCTATTGTTTGATCCTTAACTGGATGATAATGAGTAATGAACTTTACATATACACTCTGTATTCCTATGAAAAGTGAATCCATAAAAATCTTCTCTAAGCAAAGGTAGGGGTGCTTTCCTCTTGAGAAGATGGTCAGGGTGCTCCGAGGCTTGCTCTCCCCTTGAGAGAGAAGTCGTGCCATCCCTTTCCCTCCACAAGACTTGGTAGTCTGTGTGAATTTGTCTCATATCTCATCCACAATGCCTCGGACACCAGTGGTGTCCGAGTCAGAAGGGAGAAAAGAAAACAAAGGTGTTCCAGACCAAGGAAAGGACTCATGCAAATGCCCAGAGCTAAAGGAACAAGTCAGATTCCTCAAAAGCTGGATGATCTCTAATGCCCCCAGGACACCCCTCCATAACAGTACTTGTACCAGTTATATTGCAAACTCATCTTTCTGTTTTCCTCATCACTGCTAAAAATGTAAACCCTTCCAATATCTCTGAACCTCTAGTCATCCGACCCAAACCAGCACTGCTACATACCCCTTCACATCTTTCCATTGTGTAGAAACTTCCATTCCAAAAATTTTTTTAAACCTACTTAGTAAACCTTCTTTCTTACAATTGGAACTGAATCTAAGAAGTTTGTAGGTAAAGAGATGGGGTGTTTGGGGAAAGTAAAATGAGAGGAAGGAAAACGAAAATTGAATTGTTTTACCTGGTTTGAGGGAGAATATATAGATCCTGATTAACTTTTTTAAGCATCAGGAAAGTGCAAATCAGTTTGTTGTAAGTCTAAGGGTAACAGGTCTGGTTCACAAAGGGTAATCGAACATCTGAATTACCTTTCTACCCTCCCCAAAATTCACTGAAATCACAAATGTACAAATGGAAATAAAGCTATAAATCCATAGTACTACTGTGGAGGAGTCTCACTAGCAAACTTTTGGGGGCTATTGAAGAATTTTGACAGTTCCTGAGAAGGGCTCAGATTGCCAACAAAACCTGCCAGACCGAAGCTAATAATCTTATCCAAGTGAAATAGAAGAGTCATTGAATGAGATTTTCCAATAAATTCTCCATATATCCTTCAGATGGGAGACAATGAGGCCCGTGGGAAGGGCAGATTTGGACAACAAGCTGGGTAGTTCATTAGAAGGAAAAGTCAGGTAGCAATCCTGTTTTCAGAGTAAGTGAAAACAGTGTTTCTTCCCAGGATAAAACTTCAAGTTCAGTTCTATTACATAGTAAGTCTGACTCCAGAAATTTACCAGAATGAGCACCAGGTTTACAGAAGAAGGACTGAGCCCAGTGATTATCAATTGTCACAAGAAATAGGAAGACTCAGCATACAAACTACACATAAACCAGAAAGGAGAGACTATTCACATGCGTCCTCCCTATGCCACCAACCTTCTTTCCCCACATACCAC